GGGGAGAGGGGGGAAGCTGGAGCACCCCGAGAGCTAGGCGCTGCCCAGGCGGGCACCCAGCTGCTGCGGCTGCTGTTTCTGTGGGCCCCAGGCTAACCTCACTGACAATGAGAAGGAAGACAGGCCAGGAGAGTCGCGCAGTTCACACCCTGGGACGCCTCTCAGCAGTGAGAATGGACGTGCTGCCCCGTGCACCGAGCCAGAGGGGCCCCTCACTGACATAGGTGGTGGGCAAGGAGCCAGACAGGGCGATAAGACTGTGTCCAAGGCAGGCCAGGCTGTCCTGGAGATCAGGACTAAGGTGTTAGTTATTTAAAACAGATAAAAGCTCTTAGAGTTCTTACGTTTTACCCGCAGCTAACTCCGCAGCCTGGTCCTTTCACCATGAGCAGAAAACACCAGCGGCAACGAGGCACTTTAGGAGGTTTATTCCAGTGGGGCGGAAGCGGGATGGAGGTGGGGGAAGGGCAGATGGCACCTGGGGTTCCTTATGTTCAGGTGAGCCCACAAGGCGTGGAGGGGCAGGATTGGGAGGCCTTGAAGGCAGGCCCCCGGGGACTTGGTGCCTGCAGGTGATTGCCTAAGGATGATTGGTAAGTAGGCGGGGATGGGGAAGCGGCTGGGGGATGGGGGCTGAGACTCTCAGGTGAGATGCCGGATTGGTTGGCGAACAGGTGGACCAGCGCGAATTTCATGAGCCGAGGAAGAGAAAATGGTGCGGCTGCAGGACGGCGGGATCTGTTTCCATGACGACCTTCAAATCACTCCTCGCAGAAACAGAGCCTGGGAGCTTCTCTTTTGTTTCGCTTTGAAGATTCTATTATTTACAAGAGAGGTAGAGTTACAGCGAGAGTACTTCCTTCTTCTGATTGGCTGCAAGTCCAGAGCTGGGCTGCCCCAGCCAGAAGCTCATACAGGTCTCCTAATGAGTGGCAGGGGCCCAGGCACTTGGGCCATCTCCTGCTGCCTTCCTGGTGTGCTAACAGCGAGGTGGAATCGGGACTTGAACAGTCGCTCATATGCCATGCTGGCATCCCAAGTGGTGGCTTAACACACTGCGGCACAATGCCGGTCCCTTACACAGATGGGGTTGCACTGGCATGTTCCCTTTTTGATGACTTGCTGAGCTGCGCATTTGAGGGTCTCCAGTGAATGTTAGACTTAAAGATCCAGAGAAATCGTCTGGCACCTGCTATATGGCAAGCAGTGCAGCTGGAATGAGGACTAGGCCACCGCCCCTGCCTTAACCACTGCAGGCCACTGTGTGGCAGCTCAGACTCTGAAGGCACCTGGATAAGAGGGTGCAGACTGGAACAGGATGCCCCTGCCTAAGCTAGGAGTTGGGGGGATGGGTGGCTCCTATCACTCTGGGTGGTCCTGGGACCAGAGACCCAAGCAGCCATCTGCACCTGCTCCGTTTTCTGCGCTACTGGTTCCCAGCCACATGCAGGTCCCTTGCCTTCCACCAGAGGGCGCCCTAAATGGTCCCTCTTCCCATCATTCTGGGCCCAAACCTCATTCAGATGCCTTTCCTCACAGACCTGTTGCCCATTTTGTGAGCCAACAAGTGAGTGGCAGGTGGGCCTGTCCAGGGTGGCCTGGATTTGATCGTGGAAGGACAAGGCTGTGAGGTCAGTTGAAGGCAGTAGAAGCTGGAGGCCCAGCTGCAGCACAGAGGGACCTGGTCTTTTCCCAGTGGGTACAGCAGCAGGTAGGAGTCCCACACAGGCCTGGCCCATGTCCACCCAGCTAGCAGCCCACACAAACGCACCTGGTCTGCACAGTCCCTGTGCCACATGACCCATGCACACACATTTCTAACTCGTGAGATGTAGAGGAATTAGGTAACTCACCCAGGGCACTCACCACTTCCAGCTCCCAGGCAACCCACAGTTAACAGAGGCCAGCACTGCCTACAGGCAGGGCCCTGACTGCAGACCCAGCTTCTGCCCTACAGCCTCAGACAGGCTGGCCAGAGCCCCTTCCCTCGGCCCACGAGGAAGGCAGCGCACATACTCCCCACAGATGCTGTGACCAAGAACCGCAATCTGGGGGGTTTTGAACACCACGCACGCATCCTCAGCAGCCCATTGCACATGTCCCTGGGCCCTCACCGAGTCGTGGCCAAGCCGAACGGGCCCTCACCGAGTCGTGGCTGAGTAGAGCTACCTGCTAAGGCCCAGGGAGCTACCAGTCCTCTCTGCCCAGCTTCGAGCAGCACCTGCCTCTACCCGCTCTGCAGCATCAAAGCCCTCCCTGGCCCCCAGCCCTGAAGCTTGCTCCAGCCATGGTGACCACAGAGGCTGCTGTAGGACCATGTCCCCTCCTCCTGGTCCCTGGCTCCATCTTCATGGTGCCACTGCACGCCAGGTGACACCTGCCTTGTACCTGTGGGTGAGGTGTTTGCTGACACATGACTGCTGCGCCTGAGGCTGGAGCGCGCAGGGGATGCCCCGGCCTGCGTGGGGCCCGTGCTCCTATACTGCCTCCATCTCATTGGCTCAGGGTAGATCTCGCACCCTCTGCTCACCCGCTCCACAGCCCCAGGCACAACTTGGTGCCACGGTGCAGCTGAGGCAGGCCTGCATCTGGCTTAGCCATGGCAAGGGAGAGGAGCAGGGGCCTGGGGTGCAGCTCCGAGAGCAGCACTAGGGCGGAGCTGGGTGCTGCTCCCTGTCCTGTCTTCCACACGCCATGTTGCACAAAGGGCTTCTTTCAACATCGGGGGGTCTCCACTTCTTGCGCTGTGAGCCAGTGCTCACTGGGAGCGTGTGTCAGAGGCACAGCAGCAGAGTGGCAGCCAGAGCAGGTGTCCCCTCACAGGCTGTGTCCGTGGGACATCCCATGCACTGGCCTCATTTCTTCTCCCCTGGAGAGAAGGGAGAGGGAGGGAGCCCTGTGTGGGCACAGACCTGAGTTGGTACCACACCCACCCGGGGCAGACACAGGAGGGGAGGGAGCGCCTTAAAGACCCCGCCGGTGTTTTACCCGCCTCCCTCCCCCCCACACACACTTTATACTGTTTTACAACCAGGAGAGCGAAGTTACTTCCACTTGCAGGAGCAAGAGGCCTGTGCCAGATGTCACGTCTGGCTGCAGGTGGCTGAGCCAGTACAGGTTGGAGCAGATCTCGGCAAAGGCTCAGCGAGACTCCACACGGAGATCCCAGGGTCTGACCTTTTGTCCCTCATCCTGTTGGAGCCACCACCTCCTGACACATCCCAACCAGGGCCCAGTACCGGAGCACAAAGGTGTGTCCACACCAGCAACACCGGTAGCCTCACTTTGTGCCTTGGAAGGAGGCCTGCCTCACAGCCAGCCCACCTGCCTTCCGCCCCGCCACGTGCGCCTACTCCCCAACCACGGGCCCATGGAACCCTGGCTTTCAGGAAGGCACGCCGGGCAGGGAGCTGTAGCCGAGGGTGAAGCTGGGCTCAAGCTGTGGCTGTCACCGCGGCAGCAAGGCCCTGTGGGGTGCTGCAAACAAGCTTCCCGCTCATGTGCCAGGCGCAGCCTGGGGACCCAGCTTCCCACGGCTTCCCTGCCTTCCCATAGCCCCCCACACTGCGGGAGACGCAGGCTTGCTTCCCCCGGGGCTGAAGTTGGTCACCCCAGAATAGGGTCCACCACAGAGGCAGAGAGGAGGGAGGCGCTGGAGCCAGACCCCGTGGCAGGGCCAGGCTCTCCAGCAGGGCGACCTCCCAGCCTCAGGGAGCTGTTGACTGCCTGTAATTGTCCCTGTTAGCTGTCCGGTGCGCGCTGCATCTGCACAGACCTGGGCGGCAGACCTCCAACCTGCACCTGCCTGTTGGCCTCTGCCATGGGAGCGTTGATGGCCTGGCCAGCCTCGGGAGTGGGCAGGGGCTTGGGGCTTGGTCTAAGGCTGGCTTCAGGTCTGACCCAGCCCTGGTCGCAGCCTGAGACCTGCTGCTCAAAACCAGGGATCCCCAAACAGCTTGGCATTTCTGTGACTTTTCTTTCTGTCCCCAATATTTAGGCGACTTCCAGAGGCTGCGACCTTGTTGCCTTTATTGCCCTGCACCCACACAACCCGGCGAGAAGCTCAGGAGCGGGCACACAGGATGCCGCGGCCCCAGCAACTGCAGGCAGAGTTCGCACCAGCAGGGTGGAGAGCACTTGCGGGACAGAGCACCGTAGCCGGCTTCGCTCTCTGAAAGTCTCGGTGAGAAAAAAAACAAAAAAACAACTCTTGCAGAAGTGAAAAACCTCAACACTGAGGCTCATTTCCTGCGGGCGCGCCCAGCCTCTTGCGGGCACGACAGGCCGGGGCGCCTCCCCGCTGTCTCACCTGCCACTCAACCGAGGCTCAGCCCGGAGGGGCGGGGCGAACAGGGGGCAGGACCAAGGGGGCGGAGCGGGAGGGGCGTGGCTGAGAGCTCGGGGCGGGGCTCAGAGCACGGGGCGGGGCTGAGATCTCGGGGCGGGACTCAGAGCACGGGGCGGGGCTGAGACCACGGGGCGTGGCTGAGAGCTCGGGGCGGGGCTGAGAGCGGGAGGGGGCTGAGAGCGGGAGGGGGCTGAGAGCTCGGGGTGGGGCTGAGAGTACGGGGCGTGGCTGAGAACACGGGGCGTGGCTGAGAGCTCGGGGCGGGGCTGAGAGCACGGGGCGGGGCTGAGAGCTCGGGGCGGGGCTGAGAGCGGGAGGGGGCTGAGAGCTCGGGGCGGGGCTGAGAGCTCGGGGCGGGGCTGAGAGCACGGGGCGTGGCTGAGAGCGGGAGGGGGCTGAGAGCTCGGGGCGGGGCTCAGAGCTTGGGGCGGGGCTCAGAGCACGGGGCGGGCTGAGAGCTCGGGGCGGGCTGAGAGCTCGGGGCGGGGCTCAGAGCTTGGGGCGGGGCTGAGATCTCGGGGCGGGCTGAGAGCACGGGGCGTGGCTGAGAGCTCGGGGCGGGGCTGAGAGCGGGAGGGGGCTGAGAGCTCGGGGCGGGGCTGAGAGCTCGGGGCGGGGCTGAGAGCACGGGGCGGACCGGAGCGGAGCAGGGCCAGGGCGGGCCGCCTGTTTGGTCCGGGCGGGACAGGCGGAAGGAGTCTGCGGAACCGGCAGCAGCAGCTGGGCGGCCGCGCCATGGAGAGCGCGGTTCTCTGGTTTTGCAACTGGAGCACGCTGGTCGTGTGCGCCGCGCTCAAGCTGCCGCAGATCCACGCGCAGCTGGCGGCGCGCAGCGCGCGGGGCATCAGCCTGCCGAGCCTGCTGCTGGAGCTGGCGGGGTAAGACCGGCGGCCCGCAGGTGCGTCGCCCGTCGGCTGCGTCCAAGTGCTGACCAGAGCGCTGGGACGCAGCACGACGGGCGCTCGCTCGCCAGGGGCCAACTCTGCCGGCTGTGCGCTCACGAGCCTCTCGCAGACAACGCGTTGCCCCCGAAGCCATCCCGTGCCACCAGCCACTGCCGGGGCCCCAGTTCCTCCTCGTGGGGCGCGGGGTGTGGTGAGGAGAAGCCCCGAGGCCTCGGGGTGGGGGGTGCAGCCAGTTGGAAGTTCTTGGAGGAGAGGAGAACGGAGGGGTACCCGGGCCGGTGGACCCAAGTCCAGTTCTTGGGGAGGGAGTTGGGCAACTTGGGGCTGGACAGGCCTGAAAACAAGGGAAATGCGCGGCTCGGGCTGGGTGCGACGCCACCCCCGCAGCGGGGTTGGAGCCCGGGATGCAGAGAGAGAGGGAGGCGGCCTCGGGGTGCCTTGGGAATTGACCAGGGTCTCTTGGGACGGTGAGGCTAGGCGCTTGGCTGGGAGCTGGCCCTGCCCTGCGCTTCCTGGCCGGCCCTCTGGGCAGCAGCCGAGGGCGGGCCTGGGCACAGAAGCTGATGAAAGTAGCTGTGGAGCCGCAGTGCTGTTGAAGGGGCCACAGGCGTGGGGTTTGCTGGAGCCACAGAGATGGCGACCAGGTCCCTGTGGGCTCCAATCCTGGTCACCTGCCCTCAGGGTCAGCCATCTGGGTGGCAGGGCTGGTTTCTCACTACCCACCCAGCGCTGACCGGCCCAGAGGGGAGGGCCTTCCCCCAATTCCCCCAGCCCCTGTAAGCTTCTCTAACCTTCCACCTACCTACCATTCTTGCTTGCTTGCTTTCTTCCTTCCTTCCTTGATTTACTTTTCTTGGAAAGATACATTTTACAGAGAGAAGAAGAAAGATCTTGCTCTACTGATTCACTCACTCCGCAAGTGGTTGCAACAGAAAGAGCTGAGTCGATCTGAAGCCAGGAGCCAGGAGCTTCCTCGGGGTCTCCCATGCGGGTGCAGGGTCCCAAGGTTTGGGCTGTCCTCTTCTGCTTTCCCAGGCCACAAACAGGGAGCTGGAAGGGAAGTGGAGCAGCCAGGACAGAAACTGGCGCCGGTATGTGATCCCAGCACATGTTATTCCCAGAGCACAGGCACTTGAGAGCAGGGGGCCGGGACCTGCCCAGGAGCTGCTCATGATCACCTGTCTCTCCCCACTCCCCCAGCGGCCAGGGTGGGCAGCCTGGCCTTGGGTGCCTGCTGAACCCACCTACCAACCCCCCGAGGCTGAGGCCCGGTGCTCTCGGATCCCCATCCTGAGTGAGCCCGTTCCTGAACAAACCGTGCCTTGGGAACAGGCTGAGGCGACCTGGCTAAGAAATGCCTGTGGCTTTGAGCTTCTCGTGTGTTGGGTGGAGATGAAGTCTGGGTTTGGATGCAAAACTTCCCAATGGTGCAAAGGAGACAGGGCGGAATGAGCAGGCGTGAAGCCGGAGCTGGGGCTAGACGCCGTGGCAGAGGAAGTGCGCCTACGCTGGGCAGGTGTGACCGCCCCACGGGGCGTGGGCACTGCTGCTAGCCAGGGTCAAGGCCCAGCAAGAGTGGCTGTGAGCACCCACACTCCACGTGGGGCTCTGCCCTCTTGAACTTTACCCTGGGGCCAGGCAAGGTGAAGGCCTATGGGGCGGGAGCCAGGCTAGCCCAGAAGATGCCAGGTTTGCTGGTACAGGGCCGGCCAGCCCTGCCTCACTTCCCAGGGAGCATAAATAAATGTCCTGTGGTTGACTGGCACACGTTGTAACAACGGCTGCGGCTTTTTCTTTCTGAGTCTAAGAAGCATTAAACTAAAAAAGCATACTGCCCTCCCCCCTGCCCTGGCAGCAGTGGTGGAGTGGGGTGGGCCCTCCGCTTTCATTTCCCTTCATCCTTACTTATTTATTAGAAAGGCAGATTTACAGAGAGATGGAAAGACAGATCTTCCACTCAACGATTCACTCTCCTAGTGGCAGCAGCACCCAGAGCTGATCTGATACAAAGCCAGGAGCCAGAAGCTTCTTCCAGGTCTCCCTTGTGGGTGCAGGGTCCCAAGGCTTTGGGCCATCTTCTGTTGCTTTCCCAGGTCATAAGCAGGGAGTTGCATGGGAAGTGGAGCAGCCGGGACATGAACTGGCACCCATATGGGATGTTGGCATTTGAAGGTGGTTAGCCAGTTGCGAGGTGGTTGCTTCCATTAACCTCAGTTTCCCTGCGTGGTCTTGAGGTGTGGAGGCCAGAGTGAATGACTGCAAAGTCATTTATCTTTCCCAGGCTGTCCTTACTCAGGCTGCGTCTGCAGACAGGAAGCTGCCCAGCTGGCATTCTGGCACACTGCCACAGCAGTAGTTTGGCTGCAGAGGGGGTACAAGGAAGTGTTCCCCCAGTGCCTGGATCTGACAGGTGTGACCAGGGTCCAGGGTGCGACTGAGTTTGTCCTGGAGCCAAGCCTGAGCGAAGTCTCTGGACTCACACTCCAGGATGGGCACAGCTGGCCTCTCAGTGCCATCTGAGCATGGGCAGCCTGTGGGGAACCTGTGGGGGCTGCAGGAGGCCAGCTTCAGAGCCTGGTGGCCCTGGCCAGTCCTTTGCCCTCACTGAGGCCCTGGTACATCCTGAGTACCCAGGTTGGGGAGCTGAGTGATGCTGCCCATCCCCCTCCCCCCAGGTTCCTGGTGTTCCTGCGGTACCAGTGTTACTATGGGAGCCCGCTGCTCACCTACCTGGAGTACCCCATCCTCATCGTGCAAGGTACTGCCCGTCCCTGCCCCAGGCTGCCCGCAGGCCTGCGGCCACCGCTCACCCCGCTTCTCCCCTGCAGATGTCATCCTCCTGCTCTGTGTCTTCCACTTCAATGGGAACATGAGGCAGGCCGGGCCCTACGCTGCCGTGTATCCTTCCTGTGGCCGCGTGACACCTGGGGATCGTGTATCTCTGCTGGGTACAAGGTTTAGGTTCAACCCCAAGAACCCCAAGTGCATATCTGTGTGCAGAGACCAGAGGGGACCAAGCGTGTCCCCTGCTCCCAGCCCAGGGCACCTGAGTGGAGTACGGACCAGGCACGGGGGACACAGCCTTGTTCCCAACGAGGCCACTTGCTTTTCTGGGGGTTGGAGGTCCTTGACGGCTGAGTGGTGGTTTTGGTGGCCGGGAGCTCACAGTGGGATGCTGGTCGGCTTTCAGCCAGGGCCCGCCCTGGTTGGTGGCACCTCCTACATTCACCATGCCGTCTCCCCATTTACAGCAGAGGGGCCCGCGGGGGCACCATTAGGCGGCAGGAGGCCATGTGTTTCTGACCTGGAATTGCTGCTGGCTGCACCTCCCAGCACGAAGCAGGGGTCAGCCATGCTAGGAAGGCTCCCCGGTGCCTCTGGCTGGCGTCCATAATCTGTTTTTGTTCCTTTGAACTCTGAGCAGGTATAGAATGTTCTTTGTCATCTCTAAATCTAACAGGTTCTGGCAGAACCGGCCCCGTTCCACTCCCCACCCCCCACCCATGTAACCCTTTGGAGTCTTGGTTGCATAAGACGTGGGGCCAGGCAGGAATGAGGGGTACATGTCGTGGCCAGGGACCCCCGACCTACCACCACCATCTCCTTAGCCTCTGGAAAGATTCGTGTCTTCCTGGTTTGTCCTGGGTCTGCAGAAGTGGCTCATCGACCTGGCCATGGTAAGTGCAACCCTGGAGAGGCTCAGAGGCTCCTGTGAGCCTGCAGCCACCCTGGGTAATGGGATGAAAAGCACAGAGCGATCCAGCCGTTGCGAGGCAACCATTGGAACCATCACCTGCTGCAATAGCAGACACGGGAGCCAGGAATCGAACCCAAGCTACTCAGAAATGGGACATGGGTATCTTCACCGCTGGGCTGTACGCCCATCCCAACCTTTAACTCCCCTTCCCATGCTTGGTGGGACCCCCGGAATCCCACCTGGGGCTTGATGGTGGCCACACTTGCTGATTCTGTGCAGGAACCCACAGCAGCAGGCAAGTTTGGGCTGAGGCCCTGTTGGGGTTCAATGACTCCAAGCAAGACTCCAAGGCGAGTGAGATGATTTTATTGTCTAGTCCAGGGACAACTTCTTGCCATAAGCAAGAAGCGCCCCGGATGAAATAACATGGGGTTTTTATAGTAAAGGAATCAAAAAGCTACATGGCAGTGAGCAAGTACATGATTAGGGGCTAACAGTGACACAAAACAGAAAGCACGAGACAGGAATTTACGACGTGTAGGCTTGGGGTCCTGATCATATCACTTCAACGCAGACAGTAATAAAACAGCATGCCTCGAAGGGAGCTGCCTTTCCCATAAATCCAAAAACTCCAAGGTTATCCCTATCTCCTGCCTTTCAGGGAACAGGAGCTTTGCTTCTAACAGGATGCAGGTGTCTCTTTGGAGATTCCAGACTTCCAGGAGTACAGCCCCCTTTACGATTAGCCCTTTCAGGCCCGACCTGGGCCGGAGCCAATGGCCTCTGCCCTCCCCCCGACCCCCGCAGGACTGCCGGGCACCCTCTCACATGTGCCTCCTCCTCTGCTGTGTCCCCACTCTGCTCTGCTCAGCACAACTGCACAGGACCCGGCTCCCCACATGGCCCTCACTAACCTCCAGGAGCCCAGACCTTGCTCAGCACCTCCGCCTGGGAGCCCTCCTTCCACTTGCTGGCAGGCACATTCGGGCTGGGTCCTCTCTGCTTGACTGGAGACAACAGAAAAGCCAGTTGCCCTACCAGAACCCCAACTCAAAATCTGCTCCTGGGTGCCTCAGCACAAGCCAAGCGCCACAGCCCATGCCCTTGGCCAGCATCTCCCTCCCCACCTCTCCACTCTTTTCCTGCAGACCCTCTCCTCGTTCTCTGTGGCAGCTCCATTCTAGCACTGGCCAAGGCCAGGGTCGTGGGAGCTCTGAGCTGCCCTTGACTTCCTTTCCAATCGCCAGTCATTCAGCAAACTTCCCCAGCTTGACCTCCACAAGATAGCCAGGACCTGGGCAGCTGGCATCAGGTAGTTGCGACTTGATAAACCACTGGTTCATTAGATATCAGAAATCCAGGCAGGCGCGCCCCCTGGAGGCTGATTTGGGTGCAGGCGTCGGAACCTCTGCAGCCAGGCAGTGATGCTGCCTCACCACAGAGCTACCTGGAACGTCTGGCTGACGCACTTTGCCACCAAAGGCGCTGGAGGCACTTGGAGTGTGTGGTGCACGTGGCTCGATAGGAGTGCCCCAGCTTGCTCATGTTCTTGTCTGCACACAGTACTTGTGCACGTTCATCAGTGCGGCCAGCAAGTTTGTGCAGCTCCGGCATCTGTGGGAGACGCAGGACTCGGGGGCTGTGAGTGCGCTGACCTGGGGCCTCTCTGCGTACACCTGTGCAGGTAGGCAGGTACTACTGCGGTGCTGTCTGCTGGCTTGGCTTCCAAGCAGCTGTGTAAAGGCCACTGGGCTGGGAAGCTTGGCTGGGCGCTGATGGCCTTTAGGGCTGTCTGATTCTCTATGCAACCTGTCCCTCTCAGGAACGTTAGCGTGTTTACTGCTGCATTTTCTTTTACAGCAAGAATAATAACAACGCTGATGACCACCACTGATTTTGCAAGTAAGAAAGACAGTTTTTGTTGTTGTTGTTGTTCTTGAACTCTTGCTGGCTGGCTCTCCCTCTCTCCTGAGTGGAAGTGACCTGTGTGGTTCCACTGCGTTCCAGGCACAGGATGTTTCCTTGTCCTGCAATAGCTGCTCCTAGTGGTGGTGGGGACAGAATATGCATGAGGACCAGGCATGGTGCACTCACAGCTCACTGCTGAGCTTGCGGCACCGTGTGCTTGGAAGCGGGTCGCAGCGCGGGGCCCGGAAGGAACCTGAGCCAGGAGGAGCCGGGAGCAGGAGAGCGAAGAGTTCAGGCCGAGGGGCGAGCGGTCAGAGACAAGAGTGGAAAGGTAGGGGCAGAGGAGGCTGGTGATGGAGAGCAAAGCCCAGGAGACCAGGCCAGAGACAGGGGACAGGGGCTGGATGGCTTTGCCAGGTAGGCATTCGGTTATGGACACCCCCAGCCTGTGAGGGTGAGGCTGGTCCCTGGCCTGCAGATCCCGCGCCACAGTGACCCACCGCTCACACCCGGGCTTTTTGTCTGTTCTGTGAGATTAAACTTGTTCAAGTTGAAGTGTCAACTCTGATCAAGTGGAGAATGGGTAAGAATTCTCTGCATAGAAGCCGAACTGGAAACAGGAACAAATTTCTACTTCCAGGATTAGGCTGAGGTCAACAATAAGCTTTTTATCTATGGCCGTTGCTCTCAAGACCGCTCCATGTAGCTGGAAATGACCTTATAAAACATTGTAGCTAATATCCTGTATCGGTTGACAGTCACAGAGGGATCAAGTGAACTTTCTCAGAAGTGTTTGTACCTTCAAGGGCAGTCATTGCCAGTTATTGATTTTCTTATAGCTGCATTGTAATTTACAATTAGCTTTGGCTATTGGGCCAGCTAGGGATTGTAACTGGACACACTGCACTGCCTTCACTTAGCAGAACCTTCTGGAGACACCAGCATTCCCAAGGTGTGCGGGAAGGAGATTCTAAAAGCAGTAACACTTCCCAAGCACAGCCAGGATACGCCAGGGAAGCATGTAGAATGGTAAATGAGCATTCACGCAAGCACGCCAGTGTCTAGGCAGATATTTGCAATCTGCAGGGACAAAGCTTTCGTTGAGCTCCGGAATGTTTACGTGGTTCTGTTCTGTTCCCAACCACGAACAGTTTGTAACCGCCATCCTTCTGTTTTTGGTCCATCGCAGTCCTCATCCGCTTCGTGATCATGCTGGCTTTAAACATTTGGGTGACTCTCACAGTGCTTCAGTACCAGAAGGCCGGAAGCAAGGACAAATGAGGACACCACCGCCGCCCCCCCCCCCCCCCCCCCCCCCCCCGTGGACAGGGTGGCTCCTTGCTACACCGCTCCTAAATGCAGTCAAGGGGCCCAGTGACTGCAAAGGCCTTGTTTAGATGCCATCCCATGGCCCGCCCCCTCTGCAGGTGCTACTGGCTCAAGCCGTGGGTTGACAAGGGCAGGACGCACAGGAGGGGGCCCAGGAGCCCGAGCCCCTCCTTCTTGGATGTGATTTCATTCTCTCTGATGAACTAATAACTACATCTATTTTTCCGTGTTCAGAATCTTTAGAGAGAAACCTTCACCACACATATGAACATGAGTCCATTGGCTGGGACGCTGTTTGAGACTGCCCTGGCGGGCAGCAAGGCGGGCCTAGACCTGGCTGGCCTGAACCTGGGCACTCTTCACAAGGGGCCCTAAGCAGCTTCTAACCTGAAAGGAACTGTTAATGACAGTCTCAGCTCAGGAGGGGAAAAGCTCCACACGCACTGTGCTTCTTAACAGCTGTGCAGTTACCACTGGGATTTGCTACAAATAATCAGGTTTTGTCTATTAAAAGTGTTGTGCACTAAAGAGTACTTCTAGGTTTTTACCAATTTTTATGAGTTTCTCATGGTTATCTCTGTATTACACTGTATTTGCCTATAAACCTTCCTTTGTAATTGCATCGTTACATATTGTGATGTAGATGAAGTGGCTTAGGCCACTATGTAAAATAAATTTCCTGTGTGGAATTCCGATCACTGTCGTCTCAATTGCCTAGTTTAAAATGATGAAAGGTGCAATTTTTAACGAAACTGCAGTTGATCCTTTTGTCACCACAGCTAGGGACTAACAGGAAAAGAAATATGCTTAACAATTATCATTTTTTAGTTGTTTATAGTTTTCATAGAAGAAAATCCAAGTTTTCTCACACACAGTTGTAATCTATTAGTACAAACTGCATGTTACTTTCACTCACTGGAGCGATCTTCCATTTGCTGGTAAACCCTCCATCTCCATGTGGTGGCAGGGGTCTGACTCTCCAGCCATCACCTGCGCCTGGCAGCGAGTGGGGCTGGGACAGGAACCAGCACTTCAGAATGGGTGGGTGTTCCAAGTGGCAGCTTCCCTGGTGATGTCTGCTCCCGTAAGTAATGAGACACACTAACTCCGCTAAGAGCGTACTGCACTCAGGTTGGGTTTTGTCTTTCCCTCTTGGGAAGGAGCATGGGAACTCTTGCCGATATTTTACACCTATTACCCTGTTTAGTCCTGCAGCCATCTCCTGGCGTAGACGTAGGTTTACAGATGGGAACTGGGGCGCAGGGAGAATAAGCTGCCCAAGACTGACAGCCAACCAGTGTTCACCGAGGGCAGAAACACTTCCAGAGTACACACCATCGGCCCACCTCCTTCCCACCCCACCCTCGGGAGATGAGCCCTCCTTGACCCTTCATGGGGCACACACCATCAGTCCACCTCCTTCCTACCCCACCCTCGGGAGATGAGCCCTCCTTGACCCTTCATGGGGCACACACCATCAGCCCACCTCCTTCCCACCCCACCCTCGGGAGATGAGCCCTCAGGGGAAAATGGCCCTTGAAACACACTGAATCAGACTGATCACAGTCCAGGAACAGAGAAATCCCATGTCCATAGCCTTGTTTCTAAAGCTTGTTTGTTAGCTGGTTACATTCTGTAGACTCATCTTTTTGGAAAGACAAACTTTTTGGGTAAACTTTAAAAAGCTGCAGCATTTCACAGGAAAAGTAGAAAAATGCTTACATCTTAATTTATTATTTTTTTTAAACAAAAAGCAGGCATAAAATACAATTACCATACTACAAAGATGCAACACAATTTTCAAAAGGAAAAATCAGTGGGGTATGACTTTTGTTTAGGGGGACAGCTGATCAAATATTGATGATTTATCTAAACCATGCAACTCATAACTTAATATAATTCCAAACCAACCAACCAGAGTCAGTGACGGGGAAGGGACTCGGGAGAGGCCCCAGGCACGGTGCTTGGCACTGTCACACAGCGCTGTCTTCAAAGTGCTTTACCATCCTCCTCGGCGTTGTCTTGCCACGGGGGAGCAGGAGCCTGTTCCAGGCAAGCAGAGGCGAGTCAGCAGCAGTGTCAACATGGACCGAGAAGCTCAGAAGGGACTTGCTGTCACCAGATTCTGCACAGGTTATTCAGAGCATGTCTCAGTAGCATCCGCGGAGGGTGGGAGGGAATCCTGCAGGAAACGCTCAACAGCAGCAGCATACTTTCTGGAATTGTGGTTTGGCAAACCCAAGCATTTCCTGTTTAGAATCTGCACTTCACCCGCACCAGGCAGACCCTTCACAGCCAGATGCATGCCACTCCAGCTCGGGCTGGCTGGAGAGCACCAGCTGCTATTTTTAATTTACTGGAATAGTTCCTCATTAGTTAGCCAGAGTGTTTGAAACTTGTAGGCATTTTTTAAATTAAAAAATATTGCTTTCAGATAGCACGGCTTTTAGTGTTAATACTTTTTTTCCACAGTTAACATCGGTACCCATTTCCCTTCTACTTCTGTCCTACTATTCCCACAAAGTAAGACAAAAACAAAATCTAGTGAAGAAAACCCCAGGACTCCCTGTTCCTAGTTGCTAACAGGAGGTATTATGGTGGTGGGAGAAACCAGGTGTGAAGAAATGAACAACTTTTGCTCTCAGATTTATCTTGGAAGCTTTGGGGCCTCAGGAAAAAGAGAAACTGGCGCAAAATCAGCTTGTTTCGTATTTAATGAGCATTAGGAGGAAAACACACGGCTGAGGGCACACACTCACGGACGCCCGTGGGGGCGGTCATGGACTGGGCAGGGGAGCAGATTCTTACCTTGGCCAGAATTTCATATTCAGCACATTGCCACTGGTTGGATAAACAACCTTAGAAACTCCACTTTAGACCCTAATAATGGCAACAATCTCCACAGAAGAGATCTTTTCCACCCCTCAGAATATCCTTCCCTTTAAATACTTCACATTAATTTTCCTTGTACAGTTGCATCACACCTTGATTCTCCATATTCTCTAATATACACAGAATTAAAAATTTAAACTTCTGCGTTTTTACTCAAATAGTTCAATTACTTATGTGTAAACTTGAAATTATTTCACCTTAATAAAGTTTATTAAAAATATATATATATATACTCTCCAATTCAGAATAGGATAGAACCTCCCATAGTGTAACAAAATCTTTATATAAAATATTCAGTCTCCTTTTAACAACTCTAGTGAATGGAAATATTTATTTTATATAAATTTTATATATTTTTCATTTTTAAAACTTATTTTAAAAAAAGAAAAAGCTGTGCCCCCAACCGGAACTGCAAACCCCCTGCAAGGGCAAGGCGCGTGCTCCTCCGGGCTCAGCAGAGGTGGCGTCCAGGTGAGCCTGGCACAGGTTGGAGGGACAGCCTCTGGCTCAGCATGTCACCCCTTGTCCAGAGGGGACTCTCCTTCCCCCCACAGTACTGTGACGGAAGCCGTCCTTGCTCCATGGCCCTGCGTGGGCTCCAGAGCAGCCCACGGGCAGCGTCCACTTTCTTCACTGAAATAGCAGAGTAGCTAAGTATCTTACTAAACTCTGTGTCTGTCTGTAAGAGACTGATAGAAGACTATTTTTTTTTGCTTTTAAACTTGATGCTTCCATGGTTGCATACTGCTGCAGTATAAAATATATACTCATCTGGGATAATGAGAAATTATTGCAGGAATATGCCTGCATAAACTTAATAGCATTTTAAAAACAAAAAATCAAATTCACCGCCTTTGAGGCTGCTTCTTCCCAGATACCAGTTTTCTTTATCCAGTACTGAAATATTGCCATACACAATTACGTGTTTGAGGATCACATTTAAATATTTAAAATATATCTACATTATGTCATAGTTTATATTTGAGACAGTTTTTGAGCTTTGAATATGAAATGTACAAATAGTCACAAATGTCGTTACCAGAAGCAGACGCACACTTAAGACAGCCAGCAAATTCAGAGCAAAGCAAACGTCCTGCAGTAACAGAATATTACTGAGCTCTACAAAAAGGGTTAATGAAGATACACATCAGATACGTTAGCTCCAATGTTATGCATCATTGCTTCCAGGACCAATCGATTTTTACAATCAAAATAGGTTGACATTGCTATAATAACTATTATGTGTAAAAATAGTGCACTATTTTCTCTCACAAAGCAAATCTGCAACCTAAGAGCCGGTAGATACACACTGGTTCTATTTTCTCTTTTAGAAGGGATGAGACTTAGGGGAAAATTAAATTAAGGCGTCCGAAATGGGTCAACTTGCCTATCACTAACATTAGAAACGACTGTAATTCACTTCATAGTTCCTGGAGCGGGGATTGCTGAACACGAGCATGCAGCATCCCAACACAACCCAACATTATGGCTTTACACAAGTGCACAGCTGCAGGAAGTAATGATACCTGGTTTAATGTGATTAAAAAAATAAAATAGGAAGTTGAAAAACCCTCTTACAGTATTACAGTACTGTGTGTGTGCGTATGTATATATATAAATCCATTTATCTGCCTATCTATAGTATATACAGCACAATGGTCACTTCTTAAAGAGGCCGTCCTATCTGCATCGTGGACTCCATCCCCAGATCCTGCTGTCAGTGTGCTGGTGAGCTCACTCTGCTCAAGCTTCTGTGCACCGCAGTGTGAGCAACTGCCCCAGAGCACACGCAGTGAGCGTGGAAGAGTCGCACAGGACATCCCGATCCTAGCAGCCAAGCACTGCTGGTTCAGCTTGCTGCTTCCTAGAGCCCAGAAAAATCTCTCCACATTTTTTACTTTATATTACAGGGAAAGCAGAACATCTATGTGTACGTATGCATATTAGTCTTTGAGGAAAACATATTTCAGTCTTGTTTTAACTGGAGGAAAATGATCACCTTGAATGACTGCTTTCACAGAAGGCAGTTAGCTGGAAAAAAATAAAAAGAAAAAATGAAGTTAATTGATACACTGAAATAATTTAAGATTGTTAAATTTATTAAAAAGGCATTCCACTCACACTGCTTGAAAGTCTAGTGTCTCCTGACGACTACAGTCAGAATGCCTCAAGCATGCATTAAGCATACTGTCCGACTTTTTTTATTTTTAGGTACATGCAATGCAACTGTACTATTCTTCACTATAACAATGGCAGTTGGAAGTCCCATGTTGCCTACAAACATTACAGACACGCTTTCAGGCAGTTAACAAGCTCTTAACGCCTGCAGTAAGCCTGACTGAAGGCTCACACTCTGCTGGCTGCCTCATGTGACTGGAAGCACAGTGAGCCTCTGGGCCAGGTTCTATTTTGCTACTGGATCTCAAATCCTACTTTTTCTTATCTGTTTAGCAAGAGCAGATGCATAAAGATCTGCAATCCTGGACAGCTCCAGTATTACACAGTTTAAATGTGTTTTGCAGCCTGCTTACTTAGGTTAAGGCAGATCAGTTAGATCCGTTCTAAACGAAAGACTCAAGCTATGAAGCTTATTCTCATTCACTATTGGCCAAAACTATATTACATTTTCTAAAAGTACAAGAATTTTCACAGCATATCATTAGCATTCTCCAGCACAGGGCAATATTAAATCTCACACACATGTCACAGCATCACACAAAAAGCCATATCAGAAACAGCTATTTCACAGCACTTATCAGATTTAAAAGGTTTTATGGTTTTAATTCTTGCAAGCCAGAAACCAAAGAGTACAGGGTGGGAGGAATGGATAGGAAAAGGAAACCCATGCTATGTTCATAAATTGGTCTTGAAAACACTGTAAATGTTAGTGCTCTCCTTTGAGCAATACAATTTTTTACAATGAACAGAGAATATGAGCATTCATTCCTTTTGTTATTTCTACACGTTTCATTCTTAACATAAAACTTATAATTCCAATCGAGTTGAAAGAATCTGAACATAGCATTCACTTTTATACCCGACATGAAAATTTCAGTTAGAAACTTCTCTGCAAAGTTTTTACAAAATGTGGATACCATTAAAAAGAACTTTATAAATTTACAAAACTGGTCAAAAATCATAAAAGCCCAAGTGCAAACCACATGCACTACACGGCAATACTAAAATAATTCAGTTTTTATTTTCTGATTTACCACATTTCTTCAGAAATCAAAAACATCGCCATCATCATCATCATCATCATCATCATCACCATCAACATCATCAAATGACCAATCCCAGTCTTTAAATGCCAAATCAAGTAATCTGCAACAGGAGGTTTGCAAATTTATACTCTAGCACTCTTCAGAAACAAACTGATTGCTCTATCTTAGAATGCCTATTTGGAATGTGCCAGAAGCAAACAGACTTTTCCTCAATAACATGAAAAGGCGGCATGCTGGGAAAGCTTCCCTTCACGGGCAAATGCACCCCTCCAAGCTGGCCAGGGAAGCCTTCGGCTGCCCTGCATGGGATGTGGACACAAGAAGTCTTCCTGGGTTTCCTCCTATGTTATGACAATGCTGCACTTTGCATCCTTCTGAAGCCTTGGAGGGGGAGGCTGCTGTCACAGTCTCCAAGGCAAAGCCTGTCATGTGTCCAGCAGTGCTCATCCTTTGCCTTTCTCATCAGTCCCTCACTCAGTACACGTCACAGCTGGTCACTGTTTCATGTGTACATTGAAGGATGATCTCACTGAGCTGAATGTATGCCCTCACTGGAAGGCTTCTGTACAACAGAATCAAAACTGCTTGGCAGAGCGTGTGCGGTCCTGGACAACTGGATGTCTGTTTTCTCTACATTTCCTTCTCACCTCCAACTACTCTTGCCACCATTTAGCCCAACATTATCCTGCAACACAGCATTATAACACAGACAACATTTTAGAATTTTCCCACCAGGATATATATTTTTTGAAACTGTCTTTTCCCTTATTGGTTTACTGGTTAAAATAAAAGATTTATTTTATTTTTATTGTAAAGTCAGATATACAGAGAGGAGAAGAGACAGAGAGGAAGATCTTCTGTCTGATGATTCACTCCCCAAGTGGCCACAACGGCCAGTGCTGAGCCAATCAGAAGCCAGGAGCCCAGAGCCTTTCCAGGTCTCCCACAAGGGTGCAGGGTCTCAAGGCTTTGGGCTGTCCACGACTGCTTTCCCAGGCCACAAACAGGGAGCTGGATGGGAAGCAGGGCCGCCACGAATAGAACTGGTGCCCATACGGAATCCCGGCATGTTTAAGGTGAGGACTTCAGCCACTAGAGGCTACTATACCGGGCCCTGAACCTCCTTTCTTGAGTATCACCATCATTTCTGAGAATATTGGGCTTGTGTCTCATGTAAACAGCAATCCCTCGTTTACCTCTCAGGCCTGCGAGACTGTCAAAGCCCGTCCAGGAAGGGCACACTTCTTGCTGGAGAGTGTCCACTTCCCTACCTCTCCCTAACCTCTTCCCAGACCTTCACCCCTGAGAGTTCGCTAGTTTGGCAGATGGGAGTTCTATGTTACTGCTTCAATTTCAGCTGAACTGCTTTCTTCACTAATCAGGCTGATCACTGTTTTGTGTGTTTACAGCTATCTCTATGGAAACGCCTGCACAGTCCTCACCAGTTTTACACTGAGACAAAGCAATCTTCTTCATGTGGATTTATTTTTCACAATGTAAATAGTTTCATTTTTCCAAACAATTAATATTTTAAGTCTCTTACTATTTAGAAATGTAAAAGAACAATGCTGGTGGTTGGCTCAAGCTTCAGGCATCGGCAGCACATGTGGGTGCCTATGTGTGTCCTGGCTGCTTCCCTTCCTGCTTGTGGCTTGGGAAAGCAGTAACAGATGTGCCAAAATCTTGGGACCCTGCACCCATAATGGAGGTCCAAAAGAAGCTCCTGGCTCTGGTTCAGCTCAGCTCTGGCTGTTGTGGCCACTTGGGGAGTGAACCAACAGATCTTTCTCTTTGTCTCTCCATCTCTCTGTAAATCTGCCTTTCCAGTAAAAATAAACAAATCTTACAAAGAAAGAAACAAAAGGAAGAAAGAGCAAGGAAGGTAGGAAAGACAGAGAAAAAGAGAGGGAAGAAGGGAAGGAAGGACGGAGAGCAAAGAACAAACACCGAGGTCTTACTAGGTTTCCACCCTCTACGAATATTTATACTCATGTATTACATCTTATAGCTGAACAAATGGGCACTCGTATATCTGCTTCATACTTTTCTAATTTAAATATTCATTAAAAATATTTTTAGGGAAAAAGTAGCTACAGAGAAATGCCCTCCAGCTTAACTAGTAGTTTGTGTTCTCAATTGGAACAAATTACGATCTCTCCACAATTTTTCTCCATCAAAATTTACCATTTTTTGCTTTGTTAATCAGCATCTTAAGGAAACATTCACATTTTGAGAGTTGTTCAAATTCTGATGTTCAGATTTAAGTATGTTGGCATGACTTTGAAATACAATTAAAGCTATTCATCATAATTTGCTATATTATCAATATTAAATTACATTACTCTGGAACATAAATCAAATGATTTAAAGTAAGAGAATAGCACATAAGAAATACCTTAATCCATTGTACATGTCAATTATTTTTGCCACATAAAGCTCTCTTTGATTTCTAAGTTATACAGCTCTATAAGTCATTACACAGTGGCTTATCATGTTCCAAAGAGGGGATGCAGGGGGAGCTGGCATGAATATGCAACCAGGGCTGATCAATACAGTATGTGTATGTAAACATACACACAAGTGTATATATATACATATACATTTAAAACACTGGCCTTGAAGGCACTGCAATTCTAGAACTACAAGCCTTCTGAAAGCAGGATTGAAGCATGAACAGCCACGAGAAAGACATCCTATTATGTGTGTGACTGTGACAAAATGTATAAAAAACAACCAACGAACACTGATCCAAGGGGCAGGGCCAAAAGGTAAAAATGATTTCCAACAGACCACAAGGCAGCGACGGTGAGAACAGCCTGCCTCGTGTGACCTGAAGACTGCCTCATGAAGTAAGCCTCTCTGACACCATCGTGTTTAGTGAGGTCGCCAGGCCAGGACTTGTTACACTCCTAAACAGTCTGCCTGCCTGCGGTATCTCAATCGAAAAGAGATATAACAATACCTGTTCTACTCCACAAGATGGTCTTAGAGGTCGAATAAGACAACAAGCAAAGTCGAATGACAACACAGGGGATCTGAAGCAGGGGGAGGTGACTGGGTCAGGAGGGCTCCACCCTCACCAATGGCCATTAGGGAAGGAGAGATCGCTATAAGATACCAGTGCTGTGTCTCCCCTGTGATGCTGCTTCCTGAAGACAGCCCTTAGCAGGTGCAGACACCATGCTCCTGGATGCCCCAGAAAGTGGATAAAAATAAGGTGTCAACATAGGATTTATGCATTTATAGTTCTACAATATTAACAAAAATTTAATTTTTAGATGTTTCACACAAGACACATGGAATGTACCTTCAGTGTCTTAGAACTCTTTCAGTTTCTTCAGGTTAAATGAGTATTACATAGCCACTAATTTGATTGCATTTAATTTTATCATGTCTCACACAAAATATTTAGAGTTTTTTGCTGAAACATTAATTATACCTTTATCTTTCTGAATTATTTCCTTGAGACAACAGTTTCAAAAAGTTTCATCTAAGATGTTTGTGGTTTCAGGATGGTAACATTTCTGATAACACAGCCAATGCCCATCACAAGGACAGCCAATGCCCATCACAAGGACAGCCAATGCCCATCACAAGGACAGCCAATGCCCATCACAAGGACGTCTGAAACGCCCGTTCTCCACCAGCCTGCCAAATGCTCATGTCTGATGAGTAACAAGCCAAGCAACAGCTCTTCTGAATCAGGATGCTTAACGACGTGAAGGCAGACAAGAAAACGGCTCCACTGAGACGCTTGTGCTCAACAATTATCCCTGACGACACTTCGTCATGCAAACCCCAATTCCAAGAATACCCACTTTACTCATGAAATAATTTTACATTTTAAAGCTGGTCTGTACTGCTCCTTAAATCACAACTTATTCTTTTAAGACGTAGGGCTATTCTAATTTTGCCTCTCAAATCACCTCACTCAAGAAGTCCGCAACACGAAAAGCAGTGTACATCTGACCCCGGAAGGTCTCTGGGTTAATTCTATCTCCTAAATCATCAGTCATGAGCTTATAAAAGCTTGAAATGTTATAATTGTAAGCACAGATGTGACAACATGAAGCTTTACAAACTTTAGTTGTATTTAACATATGAAATTTAGAAAATATATTACCTGTATCCCCAAATCAATGAGACATGCACACCAAATAAATTTAGGAACCTTGGCAGCAGGCATTTGGGCTAGCAGGTAAGTCTAAGTTCAGATGCCTGCATCCCAGATCGAGTCCTCGCTCCTTGGCTCCAGCCTGAACCAGCTCCAGCTGCTGCAGGCATCTGGGAATGAGCCAGCGGATGGCAGTTCTATTTCTATAGTTCTCTTTGCTGTTTAATTTTAGAAACTAAAGTCCGGCATTCTATAGTGTTAAATTATTAAGAAAATAAAACTACAACTAGGAAATTTTCTGATTTGAATGCAAAGGGGAAAATAAGTATTTTTAAACCCTTAACTGGTACCACACTTATTACCTTTGTTTATTTGGGGCAAGCTGTCGGCTTGGCCGTCTCATGGACTGGTTTTGTTGAATCTTCATTGAAGTTCTAGGAGATGAGCGTGCAAAAGGATCTGGAGCCGGAGGTTTTTTAGGTATCTTTTTCACCAACCGACTAACCCACTTCTGCTGTTCTTCTGTAGAATTTGCTAATAACAATAGATTCTTTGCCGTTGAAATATCATAATACACTATAAGGAAATATGTGAAAAAATGGATGAGCTTAAAATAATCTGCACATCAGTCACGCTGATGGAGTAAGCAACTCCCTCCTCACCTTTGCAAGGTGCTATAACCTCCTCCTTCTTGTCCATGTGATCTTTGTGGCATTTGATGTGGCAGCGACGGCACTCCAACGCTGGAGGGGGCTTAAACATATGCCACAATGGCTTCATGCAAGCCTCACAGTTGGTTGGGAAGTGATAAAGAGTAGGAATAAATTCATGTCCTTTATGACAAATATAATTAGATTTTTCTCCCACTGGCTCCACTGGAAACTCCTGTTCCTTCTTACTCTCTCCTTCATTAGCATACAGGATCTATAAATAGCAAAAAAACAATGAATGGTTTCCGAAGATCAATTTGTACATGGTGACAACTTTGATGGTGTTAATAAAATTAGTCTGAATTATTCAGTGAGAAGAAAATGCATTTAAAGTTTAAATCAAAATGGGCTTTGTGTCATCAGGAGCTTCAGTGAGGAACGTCTTTAGACGGTCACTTTGGTTCACGCTTTAGAACGACTCCTGCTCACTGCTGTCTTCCCGTGTTCTTCAGTCTAGCGACCCCATCAGGACAGGAAAATGTCAATTCATATTTCACAAGTGCTCGTTCAAGTTTTTGTTTTGCTTTATTTTCCTGCGAGGGACAGGTCATAACAATCATCTGAAGAAAGGTGGTTACTGTACTAATTGGTTTTTATAATTCTTAAGGCAAAAAATCAGGTGACAGCTGGACACAGAGCTTCATTTTAAGAGACCTGTGTTTGAGTAGCTGAGAAAGAAGGCAGAGGATGTGCAGCATCCTCCACGTAAAGCAGGAGAGCATCCAGAACACAAGGGGACAACTGCCCCACTGCATTCAACCCAGGGGCCCAGGGACTGATGGCTGGCTTGACCAATTTCCAGAGGGGAGGAACAGTACTTGCCCTCTCTCTAAAGTGGACATAAAGAGGCTAGCAGGCTAATATGTTTAATTTACAGTTTTTGACTCTCCAGAAGGCTGAACCATAAACCCAAAGCAGAAGTTGATACTTAAAAAACAAAATTATAACTAGGGGCCAGTGACGTTGCATGGCAAGTCCCCACATGCAGCACCAGCTTAGGCGACCCCTGTGGTCTCCAGTTCACGGCCTGCTGCTGCATTTGTGATCCAGTGTCCTGCTCATGGCCTGGGAAGACAGCAGAATGGCTCAAATGCTTGGAACCCTGTACCCATGTGGGAGACCTCAAAGAAGGTTTTGGTTTTCAAGGCCCAACTCTAGCCAGTGCAGCCATGTAGCTAGTCAGAGAATGGAGGACCTCTCTGCTGTAACGACATTCAAATAAAAATACTGAAAAAATTACAAGTAACCAGAAGCATGATCTAAAAACAACAGACGTTAGCAAATGAAATGGAGGGAAGAATGCAGATGAACCCCAGAGAATAAGCACACCTTCAAATGGGAATGAGACAGAAAGGTAACCTGAAGAAAATCAAAGAATGAAGAAACTTCATGTCAAGTCACATGAGACTCTTCTAACGCTGAAAACACAAAACAAAACCAATCAACAAACAAAAAATAAATTTGTGTTTACCTGGAATATTCTTGGAATTTCTTTAGCATCTGCTCTATATACATCTGTCTGTGTAACAGGCCGCACATGAAATAACTTGCTATAAAAGATTTTTAATAAAGAAATAAAATATTACTCAAGATGATACTGTATTTCACTCTAAACTTAGAATAGAAGTTAAAATCAACCACTGTGACCCGTTACAAGTTAACTAATTTTGTCTTATTAATTCAATGGTTAAAATTTTCAGACATTTGCAGTTAAGTTAGAAATTTCCTAATTAGCATCACAAAGTAATAGTGACACATGAAGTAGAGATGCTCTAAACAACTCCATGGCCCAGATTTTCATCTGTATGAAGCAAACTTGAGAAAAAAATGATACCAGCACAGTAAGAGCCACACTGTAACTAAATTGCATCAACAAACCATCATATTTTGTTAATACTTTAAAAGATGAGAAGAGACAGTTTCTAAAGTCTAGTAAAAACACTTACTCTATATCTAACACCATGTAAGGATTAGATTGTTCTTTATCCTGCTCACTGTCATAGAAAAGAATCTTCTTACTGCTTACAATCACGTACTGGTAAAAAGAAGGAAGAAAGAAGCAAGCAATGGTTAAAGTTATTTTAAGCCTTATTTCTTGATTTTCTTCAAATCTGTACAAGCAGTAAAAGTAGTAAGCTAATGAATAGTACTTACTATATTTTTTAGAAAAAGTCTTTCTAACACAGCAGTACATTTTATTTGTGGATAATTTAGATGAGTGAATTGGGGGCAGAGGAAATAAAATCAAACATTATGGGATTGATTTAGCTATGAGCATAAAGAGTGTTAGTAAACTCATCCAAAAGCACAGAGAGGAGAAAGAATAAATGCTTTGTCCATCATATACAGTACTGACTTCCTACTGGCACAGCAGACACACCAGGTCAACAAGGCCATTTCCGGAACACCGATGCCTGGTTCATTATTCACAATGAAGAAACAAAACATTTCCACAAAGACAAAGCCACATCATTCCACATCAGAAAATATAAACAAATGTATGTGTCTAAAGCTTAGCCATGCATAGTCTACAACTAAAAAAGTGAAATGACTGGAATTTAACTGAAGGCAAAACAAAAAGCATACACAAAAGGTCCAATTACCTTCTTAACCCATCCAAATTTCTTAGTGTTATTTCGCACAGGTAAGGAAAGCCATCCTTCTAATCTTGATTCTACAAATAAAAGTGGAGTGAAAACCAATGTAACAATTCTCCTTAGGCAATGAAGAATTTAACATGATTTTAATGTGGAAGTCACAAGACATGCCCTTCAAAATTTATCATTGTATATTATCCAGGACACAACAATAATGATGCAGAATCAGTGAAATCAAGTCATACAATGCAAAACAAAATCCAGATTTTATCATACTAGAAACAGATACACTACAACCTTATAAATCAGATGTCTCAATGCTTTAATACATGCATTGGAAAAATCCAGGAAAAAGCTGAAAAACAAATAAATGACAACTCAAAGCACAGCAAAAGCCTAGCAGCTGACTATTCTCGTTGGCACACCTACACAGAGCTCTTTGCTTTTCCTCTGGAAGACCTAACTGTACACTAATACACATCTTCAAGATGTCACTTAAAATAAGCAATCACACGTCTAGCACCAGAGAATGAGAAAGGCTACAGACAGAAATAAAATATAAACCAAGTCTGGCTAACGAGCAGAAATACAGCTCAAGGATTCTAAACCCCAAAATGCCAAAATCAATAAAATCCTGGTTTAGGAAAGGGAAAGTTAATCCTTTGTATCTGTTTTAAGACATTTAATTAGTTTCTCTTCATAAGCAAAATAGCATTTTCAGAGGCAATTATAATAGCAAAAGTACTTATCAATGATTTACTATCGACTCTGTGTCAGCTGTGCTCAAAGCCTCACATAAATCCTGTTTAATGGTCGTGACTACCCCACCAAACAGGAGCTTCTTCCCTAACGCATGTGAGGCAACTGACACCTTCCAAGATGACACAGGGACACGCCTTGGCCTCTATGTCTCTGGCCTCTCCATTCCAGCTACAAAGAAGCCAAACTGCTTCACATTGCTCATAAAGGTCAGGCAAAATACTGACTAGCTAAGTACTCAGTGAAAACCTAGACGCATTTTTCTAAAACAAGACTACATATTTTCTCTATTGTCCCTCTTGATAGGAAACTTCAGAAAGACGGAAACAGAGTGGAATCAAATATTGTCTTAAGTTTCTTGGGACTTGGCAAAATAAATGATTTGTCAATCGAAACATCAACATCTTGTAAAAACACTTGAAAAATTCTTTGTTCATGCAGCAGTTTATTTTTAACCAAGTCTACAACAACATATTAGTGAATGTTAGTCATTGTTACATGAAATTTTCAAAAGGACCAAAATTACAGGTGGGAAGTACTCCAAAGACAAGACTCCCAGGCTATCACCTGAACCATTATGTCCCGATGATGTGGGGAAGTAAGGCAAAATGTCGTCTTCAGAGCTGGAGGCAGAGTCAGAGTCACAGAGCGTGTGAGAGCTGGAGGGCTTAGAGGTAAGACTGAGGGAGGTGGAGGCGCGCTGGTAGGTGAACGACATGGCCTCCACAGTGTGGGACTGAGAGATACAGACTGCACACCCAACACAGGAGGAGGAGAGAATGCAGAAAGAAGAGAACAAAGAATGATAAAGCACAAAAAGAGAGCTACTACATTATTTAACTGTGGAATTCTCTTTTGCTATGAAAAATTTCGTCAAAAAAAAATTAAATGTCTAAAAATGTTATTTGAAATCCTATTCATTTTTACTCAAGAGTAAAGTCAGGAACAGGACTTAACACAATCACCTGATGGAGATTTAAGATAAATGTCAGGGCTGAAGGCAAGTCTATACCTGGAAACCCATCGTCGACCTCCGCATCACCTGGTCCACTGCCTATGCTGGAACTATCCAGCCCGATGTGCAAGGCCTGCAGCTGTGACCGCAGCTGCTCAATGTCACTGTCCTTGCTGTCCAGTGTCATCTGCAGTTCAATTCGAATCTGGCTCTCCTCAGCTATTTGCTGCAAAAAATTAAATTAACTGTATGCAACATGACTTACAATTTTGCTCTTGGCTCAATAATATTTAATAAGGGAAGAGTCCTACAAACAATGAAATACACAGAAACATGAAAGCAATTCCACCTTTCTTAAAAAGAATGCTAAATCAAGAGTCCAAAAAGTATCCTTACAGCCTGCATTTCATTCAGTTCTTTCTGATATTTGATCATCTGCTGGGTCAATTTTTCACGTTCAGATTTAAGTTCCATGTGTAGCTTCCTATTCTCCTTCTCTTTCCTTCTCATATCTGTGTCACTTCCACGTTTGACAGGTTCTTTTCGATTCATGATCTCAGCCAACTTATTCACAGCCTTAAAGACATAAAAACAAGCATACAAATAAAATCAATGACATCGATGATTTCTCAGTAACAAGCACTGATAATCCTTCCCTCTGCAACAGGATTCCCAAGGAACACATTCTGGTATTAGTTAAATACTGTACCTCTCTTCTCCATCCTATACTCTATTAGTTTTCCCTTTCAAGTTTTCTGAGAATTGGAATTCAAAACACTTAGACTTTATCTGATGTCATTTTCTACTTCTCTGACTTCCTCAAGTTCTTTTCCTCAAGAGACTTGCCTTGAGAAAAAGAATTCTATTGGCATCTCATCAATAAAATATACTGTGCCAACATGCAGGAGACTCTACAGGCATCCATGTTGTCCACACCACCATGTGAGGACTAACAATCCCAGGAGCTTTTGCAGACTAGACTGTTGACCTCTTTGGGTTACCAGCCAATTCCATCTGATAGGATCATAATAAACAACTGAAAATGAGTGTGATTCCACTTTTGGTAGACATGAGGGGGAAGGAGGGAGAGGAGAAGAAGAGGAAGAGAGAGAACCAGAGAAAAAAAGAATGAATGAGAACACACTTCATTTACTCCATCCACTGGCTCACAAACGCCTGCAACAGACAAAACTGAACTCATGTCTCCACTGGAGCAGAAGAGCCTAAGGGCTCTGGGCATCACCTGTTGACTCTCAGGTGTATTAACAGGGCGCTAGAACTGGGGATGGAGTAAGAACTCAAAGCCAGGAACCTTAACTGTTTGTCTGAATGTCAGCCCCTGAACAGTGATCACCAAATCTAACTTCTGCAAACCTGGGAAAATTCAGATAACTTCACAAAACACTGTTACAGTCAATGCCTAGTTAGTGCTTCAAACATTCACAATCATATCCTATTGACATACCTGAGTCTTGAGCGTTCTTTCCGTCAGCAGCTGTTTCTCAAATTGTGCTTTAATAGCAGCTGCACTGATTTCTTCATCTTTCAACTTGGACAGCTCTGCAACATGGGTAAGTATTAGTTATATTGGCAATAACTATAACGTGTGATAAGCAACATATATATATATATATATATATATATATAGAATGAACTTTGTTAATACATACGCTCTTGAGCATCTTTCAGTTTGTTGTTTAATTCTTCCTTCTCATTGGCAAGATTGGCAACATCACTGGTTAGTGTCCTATTAGTCTCTTCAAGCTAAGAATTGAAAATAGAGAGGAATGGGGAATCACATCCCAATTAAAAAAACTTCAGTTATAACACAAAAAATTAAAACAAAGCATGCTAGAAAGTTGCCAACATTATTGAACATTATTGTTTTTCTTAGCACAGCTATCTTTACACCTGTCGCCTCTGTGCTACCAAACTTTATCCTGACACAAATTTTATTAACAAGTCTTCAACAATATCCTGGGAAGCCATAAAACTGCCATTTCCTTGTAAAACTTTAGCAGCTTCATAAAATGCGAGAAACATTTGATAACGACATTATACAACTCTATTTTCATCATAGAGGGAAAAAAACTATAATATTTCTTTCGAATCTCTATTACAAAAGAGAAAATAAGTTTTCACATAAAAAGTTTCCTTTGGGGGCCCGGTACAATAGCCTCTAGTGGGTGAAGTCCTTGCCTTAACACGCTGGGATCCCATATGAGCGGTGATTCTTACCTGGTTGCCTCATTTCCCATTCAACTCCCTGATTGTGCCCTGGGAAGGTAGTCAGGAATGGCCCAAAGCCTTGGTACCCTGCACCCACATGGGAGACCTGGAGGAAGTTCCTGGCTCCTGGCTTCGGATCGGATCGGCTCAGCTCTGGCCGTTGCAGTTACTTGCGGAGTGAATCACTGGACAGAAATCTTCCTGTCTCTTCTCCTCTCTGTATATCTGACTTTGCAATAAAAATAAAATAAATCGGGTCCAGTGGCTAAAGTCCTCGCCTTGAACATGCCAGGATCCCATATAGCTGCCGGTTCTAACCCAGGCAGCTCTACTTCCCATCCAGCTCCCTCCTTGTGGCCTGGAAAAGCAGCAGAGGACAGCCCAAAGCCTTGGAACCCTGCACCCATGTGGGAGACCCACAGGAAGTTTCAGGCTCCTGGTTTCGGATCTGACGGAAGATCTTCCTCTCTGTATATCTGACTTTGCAATAAAAATAAATTAATCAATTTAAAAAAAAAGAATTTTCTTAAAGATTAAAAAAATAAATAAATCTATTTAAAAAGTTTTCTTTTGTATTCCTCCCAAATTCCTATTGTTCTTCCTGAATTATGTGCTCATCCTTCCTACCCTGGATTATGTAAATTAACAGAGGATGTGCTTTGATTTAAGTCATGCTACGTTTATTATTCTGTAATGTATCCATTGATCAAATGAACTGAATTATTGTTATATCGGTTTATTAATTCACGATGTCTAATACAGTCAGTAGCTCCTCTTCTACCACTTTCAATGAATCTATTCATTTTAGTGATTGCCAGTCTCAACCATATACACTGCTGCCAGCATTGTATCTGAGTTTCTTTAGCACACTCATCTTAATTAACAGGCATTTTCTCTGGTCTGCATCTTCAAGCAGGCTGCCACACCATGTGCTATATTATACTATACTATATACCGTAAAGCTAAGCTCCCTTGCTAGTACAGAAGAATGGCATTTTCTAGAAATCTGTCAACCATTAAAACTATCAGATACTCGCCATGAATTTTTGCTGTGACATGATATTTCAAAGTTGTATCTAGTATTTTCAGGAAAAGTAGTGAGGAACGTATTTGCATATTTACTTATTTACTTGTTTATGTTAGGCCAATTTCTCACCTGAACTGCTTAAACTTCTTTTATTGAACCACAGATGTTCCACCCATATTCTATAATACCATTCTCTCCTTTAATAAAATACTTTACAAATACTGTTATTCACCTATGTAGCCTTCTATAACATACAAGTTTTGAATTCCATACCAACAGCTTAAATTTCTTATTTTTCATAGTTAGGTCCTAAAGATAGCTATAACTTTCTTCAATGTGTAGGACAGTACAAATCTAATTTTTCTCACTTCCACATTAAAAAAAAGTTATCCAAAAAGGATTTAGTATAACTATTCCCTTTCCCATTGATCTGTACACTACCATTTCCATCATACCAAGTTCCTCTATGGTAGTTTCATGATTCTGTGGAAGTAAATTCTGTTTAAAAAGGAGAAAATGTTTCCCACTTTTTGTATTCACCCTTTAATTTCAGTCCTTTAACTTTTAATTTACTAATAGGTGAAGCCACTGGAAATCATCCTGTAGTAAGCCTCTCTGCCAAAACTGAGATGATTAAAAATAAAAACAAAAACAAACAAAACTTAGAGCCACTCAGGAGATCAGTCCCAAACCGATCAATAACCCCATTATGACACAGCAGTTGGGATATAATCCCCCAAAATAGCACCAAGTTTACTTACGGATGCAATGGTCGCATCTTTTTCAGTAAGCTCTTGTTTGTGTCTAGCCATCATCTCTTTGATCTCCAACTCCTTCATGATTTTCTCTTTTTCCAAATCAGAATACTGTTCTTCAGCAATTGAACGTGCCAGCTGCTCGGAATCTGCTTTGGTTAGTGTGATCTCCAGCTGGGCGGCCAAGGAGTCCCTGCATTTTAGAGATACTTCACTTTTAAAGCCGACTTTTCACCATCAAGTTCAAGGCTGTACCTAATGGTCTCTGCTCAGGGGGCCGAGTGAACAGCTGTGGACAAGGAAAACAAGGGCTGGGCATCCTCACCTTTCGTCCTGCAGCTCTTGCTTCTTCTGCTGCAACTCTTTACAAAGCTTGGTCTTTTCTTCACACTCTTCTTTAAGTTCCTTAACTTGTGTTTTATAGAGTGTCTAAACAGCAAGATACAACGGAAGTTATAACACCATTCTTACTATTTTTATATTCATAATCTCTCCAGACAGAAGAACAAATGTAAATATTTCCCTGATATCTCAGTCTCTGACCAAACTGATGGTGTAATAAGCTTTCCTATTTCTAGTTTTCAACAGATATGCTAATTAAAGTTTATTTAATAAATTACAGCATGACTTTCACATGGCTATCAGATTGGTATTTTTATTGGTAGGATGAGTCAGGATGAGGGAGAAAGTTACCCTTTTAGACATGCCTCATGGACCAAAATCAGGGAAACAAAGGTGACAGTCAGCACTTTATGTTTTAACACTTAAGCTGGTCTCCCATGTGGATGGGTGCAGAGTGCCGAGGGCCTGGACTCTCTTCCGCTGTTTCTCCAAGCACATTACCAGACAGGTGGATTGGAAATGAAGCAGGAGGGACATGAACCAGCACCCATGTGGGATGCTGGTGCTACAGGCACAGAATTAGCTTGATATGCCACCATGTCAGCCTCAAGAAGATATAATATTAAAAAGATATACTCTTAATCAGCTTTATGGGGTGTGACATAAGTTTAATGTTTTTCAAAGATTTATCTGTATGAAAAGCAGAGTTAAGAGAAAGAATCCCTGTTGTGGATTCCCTGATGAGTGACAGCGGCCCTCATGGGTGCCTTCCCAGGCATATTAGTAAGAAGCCAGATGCTAAGTGGAGCAGCAGGAACCAGCTCTGACTGAGGAAGTAGATGTTGGAACCCTTGGCTGAACCCAGTGTGCCACAGTGCTTGCCCCCTGTGGTGAGAACTACTTCTCTAGCATTGAGCAGAGATCTCTGTTAAACTGGGTAATTCCTTTTGTATAAAAATCGTGTAGAATAAGACAGCCCATCTAAAATTCTATGCGGGGTTTGTTATTAGAATCTAAAGAAAATCATTCTCGTGGTTTTATACCAGCAATTAAAAACTACACAAACATAGTACATTTGTAATAAACATGTCTGGAACTTACTGAGAAATACTGCTCTGCTTCGAGCTGATCCTGGAGTTCCTTCATTTGCCCATCTGCTTCTTGCCTCTCTCTGTGGAAACATTTAACACCAAATGTTAAAGAGACTATATCTTTGTGGTCCAAGGCTCCCTGAGCTTCCATAGAACCCAGGAGGCAAGATCATCTTTTCAAATCTCTTTTTAAAGATTTTATTTATTTACTTGAAACGCATTTCCACTGCTTTCCCTGTACAGGATAGTTTGCAGGAAGCTGAATTGGAAGTGGGGCAGCTGGGACTTGGATTAGTAAGAGCTCAAACGGGATGCTGGCACTGCAGCTGGTAGCTTAAGCCACCGCGCCACGGCACCAGGCCTGCTTCACTGCCTTTCTGAACTCTCGTTCCCTCACTGGTGCCTGTAGACTTATCCTGATGCTCCACAACATACACTGATACGTTTCCTTGTGCTTCCTGCAAGCAACAGAATAGTATCTGAAATTCAGTTAGAGTGAGGGAAAAATGATCGGAATCTAGGTTTTAGATTTCAGTCTGGATGATGATGGCACACATTTGCATGTTTTGTAAAAATTCACTGAGCTCGGCACAGTGTGTGCTTTTTCTCTAACCAAGACACAAAGTAAAATGTGGCATACTGGGTGCCAGTTCATGCCAGGGCTGCTCCATTTCCAATGCAGCTCTCTGCTAATGGTGGGGGAAGCAGCATACAGATGGACAGAGTACCTGGACTGCTGTCATCCACTTGGGAGACCAGAAGAAGCTCTTGGCTCCTGAATTCAGCCTGGCCCACCACCGGCCATTGCAGCCATCTGGGAAGTGGGCCAATGGATGGGGGTCTCTCTCTCTCTTCGCTAACACTCTGAGTTTTAAAATAATATTAAAACAAACTAAGCAAAAAGCAAGCCCAATAACCCATCTAAGGAGTTTAGCTAAAAAGTTACACTAAATTCTAGGCTTATTTAAAATATAAAAAGTTATAATTATTCCACATCAAATCTAGGAGAAAAAAACAAGTTGAAGAATATTACAAACTATAGAATTTAAAATGAACAGAGATTAAAATAAAATACACAAAACTCCAAACCTAGACACTTTTTTATATAAATGCAGATTATCTCTAAGAGTGGAAATGCATAAATTCACAAAGTGGAAATAATTTCTCTTTTAAAAATATTTATTTTTATTGATTTTTTATTAGAAAGTCAGATATACAGAGAGGAGGAAAGACAGAGAGGAAGATCTTCTGTCTGCTGATTCACTCCCTAAGAGGTCACAATGGTCGCAACTGCACCGCTTCGAAGCCAGGAGCCCGGAGCCCAGAGCCTTTTCTGGGTCTCCCATGTGGGTGCAGGGACCCAAAGCTTTGGGCCATCCTCAACTGCTTTCCCAGGCCACAAGCAGGGAGCTGGACGGGAAGTGGGGCAGCTGGGATTAGAACCGGTGTCCATATGGAATCCCAGTGTGTGCAGGGTGATGACTTTAGCCGCTAGGCTACTGTGCTGGGCACTTTTTTCTAAAAACAGTATTTTAAAGTGGGAAAACATCTGAATATCACATAAGTCGTTAAAAAGCTCACAGAAAACTAATTATTTAATCCCACTGTCTTCCACTTGCACCTGACTCAGAACTCTTCTCCCACCTCAGCTAATGATGGTGGGCAAGTTTAAGACTTGATCTTTCATATGTATTTATTATTAACCATCATCTCTCACTTTGTTTATTTATTGATCTTTAGACCTCTGGGTCAAAGGATGTAATGATTCCAATTTCTGTTTGAGGCAAAACTGTGAGAGACAACGATTAATAATAAATACATATAAAAGGCCTTAATCAAGATATATAGAGAGGAAAGATCTCCCATCTGCTAATTCACTACCTAAGCAGCCACAGCAGCCAGAACTGAGCCGAGCTATGGGCTGTCCTTGACTGCTTTCCCTGGCCACAAGCAAGGAGCTGGATGGGAAGTGGAGCAGCCGGGACATGAACTAGCATGCATATGGGACTAGCCACTAGGCTACCATACCAGGCCCTTAAATTTCAAGTCTTAAAGTTACCCATCTTCATCACCTAAGGTAACTGTAGTAAGTCCTGGTATTTTTTTATACTGGACTCTTTTGAAGAACTGGTATTCATTTATGTGAGGGTACTTTAAAGTGTTCACGACAAACACGTTAGCAGAAGCTGGACTGGAATTAGAGGACCCAGGACTTGAACTGGCACTGATACAGGATTCTGATGTGGCAACTGATGGCTTCACAGTGTGCCACAATGCCAGCATTAAAACTGTATATTACACAGAGACTATGCATGGATTTCAAAAGCCTTTTGCATCAAAATGAACTCTTTTAATTTTGTTACTACACCAGCTTTCTGAAGTGCCCTTATATGAAAACTGAAAAATCTAACATTAGTTATTTAATAAAAGTATTTTTCAAGATTAATCATAACAAAAATATAAACGCTATGTAAACAGTTGTTAACACTGCATTATTTAGGGACTAGTGACAAGAAGCAAAGTCATAAAATGTTCAGTATAGATACAATACTTTGTTGGATCTGCAGATGTGCAACCCAAGACACAGAGGGCTCACTGTGCTCAGAGGAGAGCCATGCAGTAGCAAGCTCAGAACAGTTTGGCAGCTGTTGTAGTGAAAAGACATTCTCCCTGTCCACTTGGCTCCCTCCTAACTTCTACCTCCCTAGAAGAAATCCCTTTGTTGCTTTTCTGTGCTTTGTTAATCTGACATTTACTTCACATAAAGTGCAGACATGATCTACCAATTTCCTCCTGTAATTGAGAATTTCGCTCTCCTGTCCGCTCTCATCTCTGCTCCGAGCCAGCACAGCAGTGTCACAGGTCTAAGCAGAACATGCTATGCGTCTGTTGCCTCGGACCTCAACACAAAGCACAGCCTCCAAGCCAGTTAGAGGAGGACTTTACCACCTCATGCTTTCTAAAAGAACACGTCTTTGTGCCCCAACTTCTGTCAGAGACTTGCAATCCACTTTCCCCCTTCAGCTACTTCTCTCTATTATTTCTGCAAGTAATTTCTGTGCCTTGGGTTTGTAGTTCTCTGGAATTCACACTAGGTAGATGCTAGAACCCCAAAGACAGTCTCATGATGCCTTACCTATCTTCCGCATTAGTCCCATCTTTTACATTCTTAAATTCAAAACTGAATTTTAAATTCAAAATAGTGAAATTGCTTTGAATTTTTGTGTTAGTTAACCATTGCTAATAATTTTATGCTGGGAGTAATGCACATTATTCTAGGTTCAGACAAGACGAGGCACACTCAGGATGGAATCACCACAGATGCATTCATATTCTTTAACAGCTCTCTCTCTTATTCTGGCTGCCCTCTTTAAAAAAAAAAAATTGTTTTTATTGTAAAGTCAGATTTACAGAGAGAAAGATCTTCCATCCACTGGTTCACTCCCAAAAGTGACCACAATGGCTGGAGCTAAGCTGATCCAGTGCCAAGAGCCCATGTGCGGGTCTCCCACGTGGGTGCAATGTCCCAAGGCTTTGAGCTGGCCTCAGCTGCTTTCTCAGGCCACAGGCAGGGAGCTGGGAGGGAAGCGAAGCAGATGGGATACAAACTGGTGCCCATTCAGGATCCCAACACATGCAAGGTGAGGACTTCAGCCCCTACTGTTACTGTGCTGGGCCCCTTTGGCTGCCCACTTCTACTGAGATTCACAGCTGAGGCTCTCCACCAAAGAGAGGTCAGTGGGGTCCATCCCAGGACTCATTGGGCGTCCAGCAGTCAATTCTGGTGCTCTCCAAATCAGTGAGGCTGTTAAGAGTCACCTCTAGCACTATGAATGGCCAGTTTTCCTATTAAATACAAAAGGTCAGGCTAAAAGAATAAAGTCAATATACAGGAAAACAGAAGCACAAAGACAAAGACGTTTGGACATTGATCCAATATTGGGTTCTAATTTTAAAATAGGAAATCTCACGAAGCTGAAGCATCTGGGCTTACTTGGCAATAAACCAATAGGCAAAAAGAAGAAAGGCTACTTGAATATTTTGACCATCCTTTTCTAGTTAGCACCAATCTTACTGACCTGCCGCAGGCATGTAGAAAGGCAAGCAGCAGTCATAACTGGAGTAGCACTGACACTAACAGGGTACTAAAGACCTTCCTACCCACTTGCTGTATGCTCTAAACAAAGCGTTAGCTTACACAAGATACCGAACAAGACAGCTACTACCGCCCCTTTTACAGATGTTGTAAAAGGCTCAGAAACATTAAATATTTTGGATAATGTTAATTAGCCAGTAAGAAGCTGAACTGATACTCACATTGTGATTCGACTCCAAAGCCCGAGTCCTGTAATATCCTATCCTATCCTATCATATCATATCATCAAACAGCTGGGATCCAATGTAGCCTTTGGTCACGAAGGGAAAGAGTAATTCTAATGCTAACAGACGAATGGGGCAAATTTTAGTGGTATATGTACTCAACATGTTTATGTCTTCCATTATATACTCAAATATGTTTTCCATTTTCCAAGTGAGTACTCGACAAGATTAAAAATGTACACATTTGCACAATTTTCACACAATCCGAGTCCTGGAAACCAAATAATAAGCAATCACAACATGCCTGAGGCTGACCTACTACCCTATCAGAACTGGTTGGCAGCAGGGAAAGGTGGCAGAGAAGCAAGCAATCTTGGAAAAAAGACAAGTGGGACTCAACCCATTACTCAACACATCAGTGCAGAAACAGAGGCAACATGGCCAAGAAAGTAAATGCTCCAAAGTCAAAATCCCAAGACTGCCAAAGGACGTCACAGCACTGTGACTGTCCTGCCACACCGCGGCCCTGGCACTGTGCCATCCTACCACACCGCGGCCCTGGCACTCACTGTGACCGTCCTGCCACACCGCGGCCCTGGCACTCACTGTGACTGTCCTGCCACACCGCGGCCCTGGCACTCACTGTGACCGTCCTGCCACACCGCGGCCCTGGCACTCACTGTGACCGTCCTGCCACACCGGCACTACCACCCGCGGCCCTGGCACTCACTGTGACCGTCCTGCCACACCGCGGCCCTGGCACTCACTGTGACTGTCCTGCCACACCGCGGCCCTGGCACTCACTGTGACTGTCCTGCCACACCGCGGCCCTGGCACTCACTGTGACCGTCCTGCCACACCGCGGCCCTGGCACTGTGCCATCCTGCCACACCGCGGCCCCAACACTCACTTGCGCAGCTCGGTGTTCTGCTTCTCCAGGCTTGCTTTCACTTCGGTGAGATGGCTGTTCTCCTGCCTCAGCTGCTTCTCCGACACCCGCAGGGCGCTCACCTGCTGCGTCTGCATCTTCAGGTCATTCTGGGTGAGGGTGCGCTTCTGAGTCTCCTGCTCAATTTTTAATGTCAAGTTTCTGACCTAAAAAATAAATTTCATACTTGGCATTCAAATAAATAATCTTTATTTGTCTTATCATTCAATGTGGTAGCAAGAGACGTGTCTTAAGATTTCACAGTAAAATATGCATTACATATCTAAGAATGCTATAAATATATTTTTAAAATAAAATGATCTTTATGGTAAAATAATTTTATTTCATATCAATGAAATCCAGTAAAACCTATAGGCCATACTACAGAATATTAACTCACATGAAAACCTCTAAGCTCATCAGAACAATCCCTTCCACTGAACACAGTTTACTATGAACTCCTCCCAGGATGCAGTATTTACCAGCAGACAACACTCACATCCTCACTGAGCACATCTTTCTGCGCGAGGAGCTCGCTCAGCTTTTGCTGCGACTGTTTGAGGTCGCAGTCCAGCAGCGAGCACCTTTTCTCCGCCTCCAACAGCAGGTTCTCCACCTTCTGCTTCAGGCTTCTTTCCTCCAGCAGCTTCTTCTCCATTTCTAGCATTTAAAAGACAGACTTCATCATGCATTTGAAACTAACAGAGGCACTTCAAATATATATCACAGTGCTAATAAAAAGGACAGTCAATGATGTTGCTCTATTCATTATTAATAAAAACTGATTAATTTCACTACTTGTAATGTACTTAAACTTAGAATACCAAGAATACCATGCTTGAAAATTGGAAGGAATTTTAAAATACCACATTCTATGCCATTATACCTATTTTGATGGAATAAAAGTCCACCTTTAGTTTAGGTTCTGTGGATGTACATTATCTTTTATTACGATGTCACCTTAAAACATTCCAAGGAGTTCTGTGGTTGGTCATGCCATGTTCATGGATCATCATGCAGAAGTATCTAGAATCACTTCCCTGACTTTAAACCCTGGCTGACACCCAGGCACATTAACCTTTCTGGGTCAGCATCATCTATGTGTTTCTGTCTGTAATGATTTATATTTCGGGTCCAGTGCAGTAGTCTAGTGGGGTAACATTGCATTGCAACTTCCAGGATCCCATATAGGTGCTGCTTCATGTCCCGGCTGCTCTCTTTCCTTCCAGCTCCCTGCTTGTGGCTTGGGAAAGCAGTAGAGGATGGCTCAAAGCCTTAGGACCCTGTACCCAAGTGGGAGACACGGAGGAAACTCCTGGCTCCTAGCTCCCAGCTTCAGATTGGTACAGCTCTGGCCATTGTGGTCACTTGGGAAATGAATCAGCAGACCAAAAAAGAAAATGTACCCTCTGGGTCAGCGCCATGACCTAGGACATCAAGTGTCTACCTATAGTGGCCAGCATCCTGCTTAGGCATCAGTTTGAGTCCAATGACTTCATTTTCAATACAACTCCCTATGAATGTACTAGGGAAAGCAACAGAGGACAGCCCAATTGTTTGGACCCTACACCCACATGGGAGATCCAAACAAGCTTTGGCCTGGCCCATTGTAGGCTACTGGGAACCTCCAGGAAGGGAACCAACAGATGCAAAAGCCTCTGTCTCTCATTCTCTCCATCTGTAACTCTGTCTTTCAAATGCATACATACACAGTAGGTTTTAAGGTACATCCCGGAGTTTGGGAGGGGTTCGGGCCTTGGGGTTGGGGGCATTTGCCACTCCCTGCAGTGTGGCGACGGGGGGTGGGGGTCCTCTGCCAGCTCGGACCCAATGCTGGGGACTCACGCCAAAGACACTGCCACAAGGCAGTGAACGAATTCTCGGCCTCCCCCAGGATGGCCAGTGCACCAAGTAGTGCATGGCTTTGCCTGCTGGCCACCCGGCGGCAAACTCTGGGGTTTTTAAGATATGTAGTTGCTGCCTGGGGACACTCATGACTAAGGCCAGTTTGAGTGTAGGTGAGAAGCGAATTTTGGGTGATTCTCAGTGACAGGGTCATGAAAGATTCAGGCATGCGTGCGGACCAAGACCTGGTGGTTTGGAGGGAAATGTCCAGAAGATAATTTGAGTTAGACAGATGCAACAGCTCAATTAGGAATACAGAGACGGGCTATTAGCATAGAACATCACTGATTGCCACACACTAGCCCACACTAAAGCTATGGATGGGGGCCTCTTTGGCAGTGTTAGGAACCATTACCCGACTGGGTGGTGGAGTTGTAGAATGGTCACATTCGGCAGGATCAAGACACTATCCAGCACGCAAGAGAACTTGGTCTGGGGGTAGACTCTGTGGGGTTGTGTGGGCCCAACCGTCTGGAATACAAGTCCCCCTGGTTAGCTCGCAAGCTGGGGTTGCAATGGTCTAAGCTAGGTGTGACCATGCCACCTGCCATCTCTCATGGGTAAAGGAACCCACAACAGTCAGGGTAGGTCAAGGCAGCAGCACCAAAATGTGCATCTTTAAACAGGATGTGGGGTGGGCCGGGCTGCCACTGGAAGGGGGCAGAATGGGCAGGGCTGAACAAACCTTAAACAAGAAACAACAGAAATCAGGTTGGAGCACAGGTCATGCCACGTAGTTCCTTGCACCTACTGATCTGCGTGAGGCAGAGACACTAACCCACAGCATCCAAGGAGCCAGGACAAGTGAGGGGCTCTGCCAAGCTGGGACAGAACAACCACCAGCCTGCAAGTAATCTAAGGCTGGGAATAGACCTGGTTGGGGAACTAAAGGGACACCCTAGCTGGGTTGAGTTTCCCACCAAGGAGCACATGGGCTGGAATTGGGGCTGCATTCTGATCAGGATACGATTGTAATCTCACTTGGCACAAATGTGGACTGGGACTGGAAGCACCAAGCCAGGCCAGACTCCAACACCATCTGGTGCTCTGGAGGACCGGGGAAAGAGATGTGTGACAGACTAGGCTAGGTCTCAGCCCTTACTGAACAATGTGTGAGCTGTATGGGGGCATGGAAAAGCCATGGCTGGGTTGAAACATTCAACAGTGAGAACCAGATTGGGTTGAAGGCTAGACAGGAAAAGCCACTGTTCCTGCTAGGACAGGAGGTGAACTGAGTAGGGCTGGCTCATGGACCCACTGGTATGCACAAAAACTGGCATGGGGAGAGGTTCTGATGGAGGAGCCTGGGCAACTTCTCTGGCAGGACACAGTCCCTGCAGGTAAGCGCAAGAAGCACAATAGAGAACAACCCAGAACAGGCAATGGAAATTATCCCACTGGCATACACATGGCATGTGTTGGGGGCAGACCAGGCTGAACCTGTTCACATTACCTACTGGTGAATCCGAGCACCAGAACAGAGTGTGGGTCAAGCCAGGTTTGGTTGCAACACATACCAGTACACAATAAGTAATGCCAAGGTGAGATGAGCCATATCAGATGTGGTTGCAGCACCCAAACAGCACATTTAACAATCAGGGGGAGGAGGCAAAGCAGACAGGGGAACGTGGGCTCCCCTGCTGGACAACTACTTCCATTGGAAAGCGTGAGTTGGGATGGGGGCAGTTCAGACTAGGCAGGGCTATAACACCTGTGGGCCTCATGTGAGCTAGAAAAGGGAAGGGTCACGGTGGGCTGACTGTTCCGACTGGTGCAAGCAAAAATTAGAGTGGTTGAGGGTTGTTTGGGTTTAGCCACAGCATTAGCTGGAAGAGGCTGGCACTCGCAGCTAATTCTGTCAAGTCAAATGCCAGAACCACCTGGAGACTGTATAATCTGGGAGCGGGTGTGGCCTAGAAGGGAAATAGTGGGCACCTCCCTCAGGGTTACCACCCTCACTGGACAGCACGAAAACCAGGATAGAGACAGGGGTGGCTAGACAGAAAAGCACCTGCCAGTAGGTGTATGGGCTAGATAATAGGTTGGTCAGGTTGAACTAGGCTTCAATGTCCACTGACATGTGCGAGAGCTAAATGGGATGTGGGACAGAGTGGACAAGCCTGCGGTACATACTGGCAAGCATGGGAACCAGGATAGGGGACAGAACTGGTGGGGGTTATAGGGAGTCGCCCCAACTAGGCTGCAGCTCCAACTGGTTTGCATGAGGACCAAGTATGAAGTGGGTAGGATCGAGCTGGACTACAATACCCGTTGGTTCACGAGGAAGACGGGGCTGGAAACAGAACGGACCCAGCAACTGCAACGACCAGCATGTGCATAAGCTGATTGGTGTGGTGGACGGTGTTGGAGTCTATGCTAGCAAACTCACTCAAGAATCAGATCTGAGATCATCTCAGATGAAGTTTCTTTGGAGATCCCTCCAACTGAACTGCTGATCTTAGAACCCCATCAAGAGACTGTCAGCCAGTAGACTTTGAATAGGTTTCATTGCAATGGGAACTGTGAGATTGGCAGCAACCCAGAACCAATGAACTATCAAAACTGTTTGAACAGGACCCTTGGAGCGCGCCTCCGGTTCAGGATCGGGGATGGGTGGGAGGTTGGGTGGGGCTTTTCCCTTTGTTACTGCCCTAACCCCAGATACAGGGGAAAATGATAATATTAGCGTGGAAACAATGGTATTACCCACTTTCACCCTGTAGCCCTTGACCCTTTGTACCCTAATCAACTAAGATTATTAAAATAAAAAAAAAAGGGAAAAAAAAGGTACATCCCTTCCATGTGGGCTAAACTTGGAAACTCAGTGCTTCTAACTAGACTGTAGTGGAAGTGAGACGAGGCTGTGACACGGACCAGGCCCTGGAAAACTGCAGTTTAATGCTCGCACTCTCTGGGGACACTCAGGCAGTGCTGTGGGGGGAGAGCCTCATCTATGAGGCAGGGATGATGTTTCTGAGTACTGAGGTTTCCTACCAACAGTAGAGTGAAGCACCTGGGCAGCATCTCCTCCAGCCCCCGGAGCAGACCAGGAGACTGACAGCCACCTAACACCTCAGCTACACCCAAGAGGAGACCCCAAATCTGAACTACTCAGCCATGAAGCTCTGACACCACGGCAGACAGAAACCATGGGAAAATAAAGGTATGCTAAGTTTAGCTTTATATTGTACGATGCTTTATTATGTAGCGGGGAAGACAGCTACTATACTTCTGAATTCTATGCGCCACTAAGAAGCTGTTCATTGCACACCTTGGGGCATGTGCTGAGTCTAGTGGTCAAAATTCTAGTTGGAATGTCACACCTTCATCCAGATTCAGTCCCCAAGTGGCTGCAACAGATGGAGCTGAGTCAACCCGAAGCGAGGAGCCAGCAGCTTCTTCCAGGTCTCCCATGTAGGTGCAGGGTCTCAATTCTTTGGGCCGTCACTGACTGCTTTCCCAGGCCACAAGCAGGGAGCTGGATGGGAAGCAGGGCACTGGGACATGAATTGGGGCCCGTATGGGATCCTGGTGTGTGCAAAGTGAGGACTGAAGCCAGTAGGATACTGTACTGGGTCCCTCAAAGTTTTGAGTTTAGAAAACAGGGCCCAGTGCAGTAACCTAGCAGCTAAAGTCTTCAACCTTGCATGCGCCAGGACTCCATGTTAGCCCCAGTTCTAATCCTGGCAGCCCCGCTTCACATCCAGCTCCCTGTGTGTGGCCTGGAAAAGCAGTGCAGGACAGACCAAAGCCTTGGGACCCTGCACCTGATTGGGAGACCTGGAAGAGTCCCCTCACTACTGGCTTCAGATCTACTCAGCTCCAGCTGTTGTGGTCTCTTGGTGAGTGAATCATTGGATGAAAGATCTTCTCTGACTCTCTTCCTCCTTTAGTTTATTTGACTTTGCAATAAAGATAAATAAATCTTTTTAAAAAGACTGACTTGTTTATTTAATATATGGAAGGCAAAGTTAGACAGAGACAGAGGTCTTCATTGTCTTTCACTCCCCAGGTGTCCTCAAGGGCCTCGATTAGATCAGACTGAAGCCAGAAGCCAGCAGTTTCTTCCTGGTCTCCCAGGGGGCTGCAAGGTCCCAGGTAAGGAGCTGGATCAGAAGTGTGGCAGTGTACTGGTGCCCACATGGAGCCTGAGTGCCACAGGCAGCACCAGCTTCCTTCCTCTCTGCTCTGAGGCTCCCCTTGTGGTCCAGCTCTCTGCAGGTGCGCTTTGGAGAGCTGTGGATGAGGCCCAGGCATGTGGAGTTCTCAGCTGGCCTCAGCCTGGCCCAGCTGTGGTTGTTGTAGGCATTTGGCAAGTGGGCTGTTACTAGAAGACCTCTCTCCCCCTCCCCAGATAAAGAAGTAAAATAGGAAGTGGCAGCAACTACTAGATTTCCACAGATCAAGATGATCTTCTGTGTATATATGAGTTTGCAATAAAAAGAAATAAATCTTAAAAAAAAAAAAGAAGCATACCTTTCATGGCTTCTGACTTCGCTTCTTCAATGGACTCGTAGATCTTGTTCTTATCTGCTAACCGTGCTTTAGTGGTCTTGTGTTCGGCTTCTTCTTGTTCTAAGCTCTGCTGAATCACTTTTAGTTGGTATGTCATGTCTATTTCCATGTTGCTCTTCTCCTATTCAAGATTTAAATAGGCAGTTATCAATAAAAAGGCTGGCTCACAATTTCAAAAAATTTCAAACAAATTTTTAGCAGATTTAGTATCAGTGCCCAGTGTCTTCCCTCCTCTTCTCCTCCTCCATGCGATAGTAAACTTGGTCCTTTAATTCCTGCTCTTCCTGCAACAATCTCCGCACCTCTGCTCCACTACTGTTCTATCTGCCAGGCTGTATTAGAATCACCTGTGTGTTTGATCACTATTTTAAAAACCATCTATTAGATTATGATAAAATTTCTGCATCCTGATACTTCTACCATGTACTAAAACTTAAATGAAGACATAAGTGAAAGAAAATAACTGAACAGAACCTAGAAAGCATCCCTAGCTTACAGAATTTTTAAGGATAACTTCTAAATGCCCAGAAACAAAATGACTTCCTATTATAGAATTTTAAAGATATGTTAAGTCAAAACAATAGTGGGACTTGCATTCCTATATATCTCCTCATAACCCACAACCCAGCCAAGCTCCTTCCTTCAGGAGAGCCGGCAAACTGCAGGCCGCACGCAGTGTGCTCTGGGAACCCTGCCTAGACAACTAGTCAACATTCCAGAGTCTAGAATATGAGAAAATATTCCAGTTAATGACTTCTTTCATTTCAAGGCAACTTTCCTAATCTGAAGCTCTATGATGATTTTCTTACACATAAAAGTAGACTTTACCTTTTCCAGATCTGCGAGTCTCTCCTGAAGCTGCCTCTTCTCCACTTCTATTTTTGATACTAAGAGTTTGCCATTCTTTAAATCTTCTTCGAGGCCAGATATTCTACCTAAAAATGGTAACATTTTCAAGATAGTAAGTTCATATAGCATATAAATTCAATTAAAATATTTGGTAACTACCTCATATTTTGGAGCTGTTATTTCTGGGCAGGAGTTGTGACAGCACTTTCTAGTTAATTTAGCTGGAACCTAATTCCCTACACTGAGTTGGACACTCACACTATTTTAAAAGTTAAACCTCCCCTCGTAAAGCTTTTATCAATATATTTGCAATATCATCATGAAACTCAGTAGTAGTAGTGTACTTAGATATTCATTACATCAATCATCACACATGTTCTCTAATACCTTGCAAATCGTTAATTATCTCTGATCCGTGAGTTCGGTCCCTCCTTTCAGACTCCAGGGCTGACTGAAGATTCAGAAATTCCTTTTCAAGTTTTAACTTGGCAGTCTCCAGCAGGCAGTTTTTATCTTGTAGGTCTCTGTTGTTAGATTCCAGCTGCTGAATCTGTTTTGAACTTTCTGCCTGTGTTTTTCTTAATCGGGCTGCAGTATCAGATTCTGTTCTCAGCAAAGCACTGGTTTCATCCAGCTATCATTCCAATCAAAATCAAACAACAAACACAAGTACATATGAAAGTTTGTTACTTTATTAACCCAATATGAACTACTTAAAATAAACAAGGATCTAAAATAATTTGCAGTCATAAATAAAATTCAGTATACTTATTGCAAACTGAGATCCACTTACTTGTTTCTGGAGTTGACTCACTCTCTCATTGGATATCTGAGAGTTCTGATTTCTTTTCTTCAAATCTTCAAGTTGATCTTTTAAGCTGTTAACTAAGATTTAAAAGAAGTTCAGTCACAAGTTTCAACACAACACACATGTATATGCACTTTCATTTTTTTTCTTGATAAGCATTTACTGTTCTATATCACAAACCATCATTTTCCAGATTCCGCTTCTTGTCTGCCTCGTGATCAGCTTTCCGCTGGTACTCTGCGTTCTTGTGCTGGAGTAGCGCCTTTTCTCTTTCTAACTGTCTTAATGCAGATTCCACATTTTTCCTTAAGGTAATCTGAAATAATGCTTAAAGTTACTATTTAAGGATGTAGGTATAAAAATTCGAACAAAAAATAGTTATTTCAAACAAATGAGACCTCAAAAAGATGTCACTACTTCTTTAAAGATGGAAAAGTATTTTCATGTTTATCAAATAGCACACTACTGTTAAACAGCCAAAACCATGAGCGTTTTATTTACTACTGAAAGATTACCTTTCTGTAATTTCCCATCACTGCTGAACCATCAGTACTCAATACTATTTACTAATCAAAATGTTACAAATGCCAACTTAAAAAGCCAGTCACTTTCTGTTTTTAAACCACACCATTAACCACAATATAAATGCAAACATTTATTTGGAATATCTACGCACACTAAACCTACTCAAATCTGCAAACTTATAAGTGAATGAAGCCGAGGTATCAGAAGCTAATCTGTAACGTTACTCTTTCCCGCAACACAAGGTGGGTTTTACTATATACACATCGAGATAGCCATGACCAAGGTATCAAAAGAACCATGTAGGTCAACCACATAGCAAAAATCTTGACTAGCCAAAGTGCTAACGAAAGGACAGGACAACCGTACCTCTTCTTCTAGCTCCTTCGCTGTTTTCTCTAGGCGAGTATTAACAGACCTAAGGAATTTCAAAAAGAAATAGTAAATAATTCTTTTTAATAGTTGATTTTTAATAAAAAGAATTACTGTGTAATTTTTCCATTTTAATAAAATGTTTGAGCTTTAATTTAATATGTAGTATTTATCTAGAAGACATACTTGCATTTCTGCTCCAGCTCCTCTTTGGCTTGTATCTCATTGTTAAGGTGTTCTTCTAGTGCATGTAATTTTTTCTGAATCTATCAAAACCCAAAAAACTGTAATTAAAAATTCTGACCATGTTTAAAGATGGGAGGCTAAAAGAAAACAAGGGCAAATTTATTTTGTTTTTCCACTTAATACATATACAATCTCCACATTGGCAGAGTGCTTGGACCTTCTTAATTCCACCATCTCTGGCTTTCTCACTCAGGGCACACGTTATGTACGGTAAACACAAATGAGAAGCTGAAATTATGGCAGGATTCTTATGCCAAATTCATCATAAATAAAGGATATCATTTCTGATACCTCAGTCCTCTTCTACAGAATATTTATTGGAAAATACGGTTGCCGTCTGCCCTTATGAGATGCAGATAAAAGGCTTACATATGAGATAAACACTGAACTGAAAAAACAACTGTTCTGAGAAAGAACATAAACTCTTGTATTTCATATCTTCCTGCACAGTGGTGCACAGAGCACTGTGAGGAAAACTGTATCAAAGACTCTTCAGAAGAAATGACAGATAATTGACTACAAGTCATCCCATCAGGAGCTTTTCCTAGCCACGTCAGCAAAAAACTTAAAATTACAGAAACTATTACATAATCCATTTCTGCAACATGATTTCCTTTTAAAAGGATTTACTTGTCTGAGTTTCTGTGATGCTTGAGATGCTTCACCATGACAGGCACTTAACATCTCAATCTAACAAAAGCCACCAAAGGTGGTGATTTTTATCTACCAGAAAAAAACAATCCAAAGGAAATGAATACTCAGGTCGAGCAGAGCCGGTAAGTGGCAATGTCAATCATCACCCAATGCTGATGTTCTTCTAGGAATTAGGTTGTTCGTGTTTCTTAACTAATTCAGGATCTTAAGAAAATCTCTGCTTTCCCATAATAAAAATACCCAGACTAATAGTCTGGTCACGTTGAGCTGCTTTGGGTGACACTACATGGTCAACGTGGAGCACAGCCACTACTAAGATCTATCAGACCCTGCACAAACGCAAAAAGGAAACAATACGCTATGCATTTTAAACAACAGAATCAAAGGAGCAAGAATAAAAGGGATACTCAGGAGGAAAACGCTCGGGACCATCTCTCCTAGGTAGATGTGGTATTCCCAACACCGTGTGGCCTCTGCCTACATTACAACATCGCTAGAATGGTGAGTTTTCTTTAGTTTTTCAATATTTTTGACAGCACCAACATACCTCTTGACTTTCCTAGTTCAAACAGAAAAAAAACACAAAAAACATTAAAATGCTTATGTTTTGTTTTGAAAATTAACTAAAACACAAATCTTAACAAAACCATCCAGACACGCTGTCCTTAAGTTTAAGGAAATAATGTTCAGTATTGTCATTTAATTTCATTTTCCCCAATTTGGTGAGGTTGCCTCCATACATGGACAATTTAGCTTGGCATATGATTACAAATTAGAAAGATCAGAGAGCACTCAGATCAACAAAGTATTATCTATAGAAACTTAGATGAACTTAGAACATGATTCTGTTCTCTATTTCTATGTCTTACAGCTCTGATGATAAGATTTCCTAACTAGTATAGTAGTGATCATAAAATATTCTAGCACATTTGCTACTAACTTAAGCTTAAAGACATGCATAATTCTTTGTTATATAGTATGTCTTAAATGAATTATTTCAACATTAGGCTACTTTAATCACACAAAGAAAGTTATCTCATGATACAAATAGTAGTATCAAATGAACGTTCAATAAAATGTGGGTTATCACTAAAGCACATGCACATGTGACTGCAGTAACTGGGTAAAAGCTTACACATACTTCATTTTTTCTTGATTGTACTGACTCATTTTCTCTAATAGGTGGGGAATCACTTAATAACCTAGAAGAAAGCAGAAGAAAAATAAATTATTTTGTACTTCATGTTAATCCATTATTTGCATTGCTGTACTACATTATTAAACATCAGCCACATAGGATTTTTCCTTTCTGCATCTACGTATTATTGAATGAATCATAATTTCTTTTTCCTCTAGACATTTACACCATTTTCCACGTCTCAAAATGCTAAGCTCTTCTTGGCTCTCCTTTTATCAGATGATCCAATCTTTATCCTTGTTGGAACTAGCGTCCCCAAATAAAACTATATTTTATTTCTCTTCATTACATTTGCGTTTCTACAAAAATTTTAGTCTTATTCTACCCCATCTTCTAGAAATACACATTTCTACACATTTTCAAAGACAACACCTCTTGAGCCCTGGGTCTTGACCCCTACCTAGGTAGGTATCAATTATCTAGTTCACTTCCGCCTCAAATGGGTCCTTCTCCTTCTTTGCCTGCAGACATGCATGCTTGAGCATGCACACTTTTCTTGGCAATGACACACTCATCTTGATCAGCAGTAATTTTACAGAGTGAGGGAGAAACACACTCTCTCTCTCTCTCACCATATCCAATGGTACACTCTCCAAATGGCTGCAACAGCCAGAGCCAAGTGGATCTGAGGCTGGGAGTCAGGATCCTCTTCTGGCCACTTCCACGGGTACAAGGGCCAAGGTCTTGAGTCATCCTCCACTGCTTCCCTAAGCCCTCCTCAGGGAGCTGGGTCAGAAGAAGCAGAGCAGCTGCGACTTCAACTGGCACACATAGGGATCCCAGAGCCGCATGTGGTTTAGCCTCCTAGGTCATCACACTGGCCCCAGCAGTGGACAGTTTTCACATTATTACTTACTAGGATGACCACCTCATCCTCGTTTGCATGGGACTAGTCTCAGCATGAAAGTCCCACACCTAAGAAACTAGAGACCTGAGCAACTGTGAAGGCTGCTCACTCCTGATCATTCCATGCAAGGATGCCTCCAAAATCCGTCAAAGTTGTTTCTCAGAAGTCTTTAACATCCCACCCAACTATTTAACAACTCGCAATGACCCCTCGTGCATATTAGTCAAAAGCACCTTAACTGAGTGTATAACAATAATCTGTTATATTCTTCTTCCCTGAAACTCCAATTCCATTCTACTCTCTTAATCCAAAACTCATTTCAGCTAACCAGTATTTATTGAAAAGCCTCTGTGCTGGGTGAAAAGATCATAGGCAAGTAAATCAGTCTCTTCAATCTTCCAAAGTCATAATACAGTAAAAATGCCCTACATCTGAGATCTTCTGGACTACATTACCCTGCTCCAAGTGTGTTCACAGCCTCCTTCCTAACCCCAGACCCCTAATCTTGGCCATTCAAAACGCCTTGTTAACCTAATACATGAGGTATGACATATTCAGACTTAGCTAAACAGGCTATCTCTTCCCCGAAGTCTACCCTGACTTCTGCTTATAGCCACTCCAGCTATGGACTGTCTCAGACTCCCTTGGTGTCTGTTTAAGGTCACTATAACACTCTACCTTACTGAGTGACAACATTCTATCTTCAGGAAGTGAAGCAGGTACTTGTTTTAATTCTGTCTCCGTAAAGGAACAGAGGATATTGCCTTTCAGCATGTTAAGCTGCCTTCTTAGTGCCAGTGTTTTACATGAGTCACAGTGTGGTTGCTGCACTTCTAATCCATTTTCAGTGAATGCACCTGGGAGAGTCAAAGCCAGCCCAAGTGTTTGGCTCTTGACACCTATGTGGGGAACCTGGTTCTCAGCTCTTGGCTTCAGCCTCACCAAGCCTCAGCGATTGCAGCCATTTAGGCAGGGAATCAGTCAATGGAAGTATTGTAATAAAGAGTTTAAAAAAATATTGCCTTGCGCTAATTCAGTAAGTGAATATAATATTCAAAAACTAAATGGTAATATAAAATTTAAAATAATTTGTCCAACAATCCTTTTGGAAAAACCTCAAAATTTAAAACACATTAACACTATCTTATATATAGCAATCTCATAAAAAGTACTGTCATCTTATAGCCAGATTCTAAAAGGAATAACATTTCAAATATTAATCACGTACAAGTTTTCTCTATAGTAGGTAAATCCTATAAAAGGCAGCTGATTTCCCACAAAAGCTTTAGGAATTGGGAAGGTTTCCACATCACCCTTGTCATCTTCGATGTCATCAAAATTGCTGCTATCTATGTCACTGCTGAGTTCAGGGACCACAGGAGCTGCAGCTAATTGAAAGACAAGAAAAAAATCATTTCACTTAACCAACACATAAGCCATCCCATTTTTGTATCAATATGCGTTATTATTAAATGCTGCATTATACAGGGTTAATTATGAAAAAATCTCAACAGCACAGCTTTCATTTTATCATTTCATGGAACTGAAATGCTGCCATTTATTACTATATGAGATCAGTTTTAAATATAAAATAAACAATTAAAAAAAGGTGCATGATATTGTTCAGGTGTTAAAAATTACAAGCAGAAATAAGTTGCACAAATATTCTTTAGGGTGCTCAATTTTCTACATTTTTAAAGCAGAAATACTTCTTACCTTTAAAATGAATCAATACCATATATACATGAAATAGAACTGAATTATTACACTATGCTTTACCAGGGCATGGTCTCCAAACATAATTGCTGATTTATCCACTCAAATAATTCCAATGAATGGATTATTTCCCCAAATCTGAAAAATCATCGATACTGACCAACTCAACCAGAAAAATTATTGAAATGAACATAACAAAATTTTGGGAAATATTCTAATAATATGTATTAGTTTGCTAAGAAAGTGAGAAAATGTTAATTTAGCTATAAATGTTGCCACAGAATAAATGTGAAATGAAATCTCTCAATTTAAAAATGAGTTAGTATTAAAGGTCTCAAACATGATTGTTACTTCAAAGGAGGGATCTATTTATATGATTTAAAATGTGATGGAATGGAAATATTTATAGATTTATTGACTTACTCTCTCTTATGTTATCCCAATTCCATTGATCATTCTTAAAGAAAGGATGCTGTTTGATTTCTTCTACCCCATTTCGCCCAAGTCGTACCTCCCTAAATAATGCAGTTAAAGATTGCATTATAAAAAAATTTATGGAAAAAATATTATCTCAACAGTTTAGCCAGAATAAAGACAACACATGAGTTTGAGATATTCTTATTAAAAGCTTCAGCTTAAATGTTTTCCCAAACTAAGCAGTCCCAATGTTTTATCATCTGATCCCTCCGAGGGATGCACCTGCAGCTACTGACTATCACATGCAGTCTGTCTGTGCACAACTGCCTTCAAGTGGAAGAAGACACGGTCTAGCTTTCACACAGAAGATACATCCAAAACCTCTCTTCAGAAAGATTTATCTGAAAATTTCTTCTTAAAAAAGAACTTACACATTGTATTTGGAACTACCAATAATACTGCGATGAATTATACCTCTACATTTATATTAAAATTATCATCTGAATATAAGGAAAATGTTACTAACATTTTCATTTTTTGACCCTGAATTTTCAATGAAGATTTTATAGAAATGTTTTTTTTATTTGCCCTAGGAGCTATGTTTAAAATAAAGATGAAAATCTGCATACTTAAAAAGAGAAATGTTTACAGTCAAACTGACAGTACTAAATTACCTTCAAAATAGCTGTGGTTTGTTTATTTCTTAGATTTTACCTTCCACCCCAGTAAGTTGCTAAAACAAATTGTTCAGAACTTGCACTCCTTTCACTAGCATACAATATAACTTATTTTATAATTTACCATTCATCAAAACTTACAGTTTATCCCCAACAACCCCCGGCAGTTCTCAAATGAAACATAATACAGGCTACATCTGAGATTATCAGCATGTGATTCTTCATTAACTGTATAATTAACAATTTTTAAGTTCTAGTCTATATATAATTAATACATGATTATCTCTCTAACAAAGAAAAAAGGCAAAATAACTTCTTGCCTCTGACAGAAAAACATCTTTATAACATTCAGTTTGATAAGAGGAGCAGTTATTGTTAGTGCATACCCTAGAATTTCCCCTGTAAGATTCCACCCTGCACAAAGTATGCACGGATGCAGGAGTCACCAAACTGCCAGCCGCAGGCTAAGGGTAAGGTGCGCCAAGGAGCCGCAGTAATCAGAGCTAGCGATGTCCCTAACTCAAGCCCCTCACTTCAGCCCGCCCCCCCAGAAAGTAATCACCTCCCCAAGATCACAGAGCCAGCACTGCAGTGCAAGCACGCACCTGCAGCTTTCATTATGTGTTGGCTCTGCAGCAGTACGGCTGTCACAGACAGAATCTTAAGATTAGTAAAAAGGATGGAAGACAAACTAAATAGCTTTCCAGCTTCCATGTCTGAGGGAGTTCCAGCTGGCTTGTTCATATTAAACACATATAAAAGGGTCCATCAGAAGACACTCCCAAGTGGGGACACAACAAGCTTATGTGAACACAAAGTTCTGATTATTCATCTACATAATGCGGTCTTGTCAAAAGTCCTACCATGGGGGCAATATAAACTAAAGACCATAGGCAGTAAAATGTGAATGGCAAAGAAGTTTAACATCTTTCAGATATACAATGTGCCCAGTTTCTGTCTTCTTCAAGGTTAAGGTTAATTAAAACATGGTTGGTTTGTGCACACCAAATGAGACAGAAAATCCAACACCAGGTTTAATAGTAGGAAAAAGCAAAATCAGAAGCTACTTAGGATAATCAGAGGCTGACTTGTAAGTAAATCAGGAATGTTCTCACTACACATTTTAAGCGAAAGGGCTTCTCTGCAAAAAAATTCAGTGGACATTACCTATCTGTTAGAAAAGCACAGATGAGATTCTTCGCATGTTTAGAAATTTCTGCATCTTCAGGGAAACACAGTGAATTTTTATGATCCATAATTTTGCTGTAGGTTCCTACCAGTGAATCTGCGTAAAATGGAGTATCTCCTAAAATTCCAAGAAAGAAGATAATGAATTTAACAGATAACCTATTGTTTAAATATTATAAGTTTCACTTTGGCACATGCATACAAGAATAAAGGTTTCAAGAGTTAGGGAGTCCCTCTCAAAACACAGACTTTCACAGTGTATCTAACTTTTAACCAAACCAATGATTCTTCCATCCATGAAAGCAAAGTAAATGAATGCTAATTCACTCTAGAATTTATTTGGTTTGGTTTTTAAGAAGTAAGAAATAACTTCACTGGTAAACTCAACAAAGACTTCCCAAGGGACTCAGATCCGTCTAATCCCTCCAGACCTTGGGGAGGGCCTGCACTCGGGATCCCTCTTAGGGGCCACACGGTCTAATACACAAGTCAGATGCTGCAACTGCAAACTGAAATGAAAGACATGGTTCCCTAGTTACATACACTAGCCAAATTCCAAGCGCTTGAAGGTGGCCAGGGTATAAAACAGCTCCACCATGACCAGCCAGGCTCTACTGCCTCAGGATTTAGATCAGCTCTACCATTTCACACAGGAGAAAGTCAGGCCCAGAGAGACAGCCTCTTGACTTGCTGACAGTGACAAACAGAGCGGGCAAAGGGTCAAAACACTCTTACTGTGCTGTTCCCATTCACTGATGTTTGACTTGGATACTGAAACCTGAGTAACGAAAAAAAGCTGAAGGGCCATTTGGTCCAGTACTCATCTTTAGCCACAAAGGCACTACCAATGTTCCTATACTGGGAGTAGCTTTCCCAAATCAGCAATCCCAAACTTCTGAATAGATATTTAGAATGTTTCTGGGAGAGGGGAGGATAATTTTGAATTCAAAACTTCTCTAGTACACTATTTTTAGCTGCAGCAAATCGTTTAAATGAAGCCCAGTACTAACTAACCACTACAAGCTTCATAGTAGGCTCAGATTACTACAGAGCACTGCCATTCAAAAATTTCATAGAAAAAAGAAACAGAGAGGGAGGGAGGGAACAAAGGAGGAAGGGATGCAGAGAGAAAAGGACAGAAAGAAGGAAGGAGGGAGGAGGAAATACTATTCTATTATTAGGATTGAATTTATAAAATGCATTGAGTCTGTCCCCTTTGTATTAATATCAGGTAAATGGGAGGCTTGTTCAGAATGTTATAGTAATTAGCTTGTTGCATTTGCTGTGACCCCAAGAAACCTAGCGTGTCAAGAAATTCCTTCAAATATATATATATATATATATATATATATGTTATTCCCACTATATATATATATATTCCCACTATATATATATAGTGGGAATTTGGGTGGGGAGGAAATCCCAGACCCTATGGAATTGTACCATAAAATTAAACAAAAAAATATAGATTCAGCCCTCAAAATTGAAAGCAGTAGTGGGAATTTAAATGGTCTCTTCACATGATTACAATATTTTCCTCTAGAACATCTTATTCTCCAAATTGGAGATGAGACTAGGCAAGAGAGTATGTGAGCTCTTCAAAAACCTCATGGAAAATGTGTATTATGAAAAAGCTATACATCAATTCTAAAACGTTTTGCACCAAAATAAATTTGTCTTATAATTCTGTATTCCATGAACTTTTTCAAGTCTCCTCTCACAGTCTACTTTAAAGAGATTACAAGACAGACAAGAGAAGAAATAACCTAGAACCACAGAGTGCCTAACAAAAACCCAAACCCAGAGCCTCACATCACCACAAGAACAGCACTGCCTGCCCTGCAGTCATCACAAAACAGCTGAGGCCACAGAACCAGATTCCGGCATAATCACCTCTCCTAAAAGTTAGAAAATGAGCTAGTCAGGCAGCCAGAAATCCTTCCCTGTGCTGGTTCACTGCCCACATTCCTGCAGCAGGTAGGTCTAGACAAGGTGGAAGCCACACATGCGAGTGAGAAGCTAGGATCTGCAGCAGGCTGGACTCAAAACCACGCACTCTGACATCAGGCGTGGGCAGCCCAAAGCAGGGGCTGTGCCAAACACCTACCACAGTAATGATTATTTACCAAAAACTTCTCACATTTCAGTAATACACTATTATTCAGACTTTGTACTACCAATTTCTAATTTTTTAGAATCTTCCAGGAAATAATCCAAATCTAGACATATATTTTTATCTGTAGTGCCATCCCTTACCACCCTGACCTTGGGAAGCAGAACTAGCCACATCCCTCTTCCCTATACCAGGTGTTTGGTCATTGAGTTCCTTAGCCCAAAGATATTTTAATAAATTCAGTATTTAGAAACAGGACACTCTAGGAATAAAATCTATAATATAAAGAACAGTTTTGAAAGCAGTTTTGTCTAAATTTTTATTTGGTAAAGTAAAATAAACTACTAAATATACCTCTGAGTTTCTGAAACTGAAATACTATTCAAAATATGTTCTGATAATCAAATGGTTAATATATTTATGATTCAGTTAACTAGAATTACAAGTCAAATACATACACACATAATAAGTAAGTTTACTAAACCAAGAAACATAATTCTATAAAGAGAAGGATACTTTGCGCTGTGATGACTGCAGCAAATACGGACACTGTCGGCCCAAACACTGCAGCAGTCAGGGTCACTGGGAGATCAGCACGAGGCCCACGCAGAGGCCCACTAGGCCCTTCTTGTTCTAACAGTTTGTTAATTCAAAAAGGCCTCCTTGCAATACACATCAATTCCTTTTACAATTTCCTAAATCTACACAACTGTTATGCCAGAATCAAGCCTGGTATTAATGTTCTGATTAACAGTATGTCATGTCAGACACTTCTAATTCAAGGTTACAAGAAATTCCAACTCTTCCCCAGGATGCAGGCAACTCTTCCCCATGCTCTCAGACGCAGTATTAAGAAAAGGGTTTTGAAAAAGAACAAATTGAAATAGTCACTCACCCACTAGCATTTCAAAAAGAAAAACCCCTACAGACCACCAGTCACATTCTCGTCCATAGTAGCCATCACCTCCCTGGGACTGCAGGACTTCGGGTGAAATGTAGTCAGGGGTCCCAACGGCAGTGTCACAGTGTACCATGCCTGTCTGGGAAAACAGCAGAGACCAACGTAAGCCACAGACTCCAAGTGCCACGAATCCATCCGTCTTCAGACAACAAGGCGTATGTCAACAGTTGAGGTGCAGAACAGTTTTAGGAGCCCCCACCCCCAAAACAAACAAACAAACAAACAAATTAGGATACAGAACAAGGAGAGCTCAGAAACAGACAGGAAATGGTCAGTGTGGACTCACATATTCTTTACTAGGCAGGACACAAAGATTAGTTACTCCTCACTAGGGTATTGAAGATTTCTCTGCACACTCCTCCTAAAACTGTTCTGCACCTCAACTGTTGACATACGCCTTGTTAGTTATAAGCCAGCTTAGACTAAAGTCTGCCAAGTTCAAAATTATGCTTCAACACTATAAATTGCTAAATACTAAAATGAAAATAGACACAAGACGGCTGAATAGTATCCTATAGCCATTTCAAGGTGAATAGAAGCCGGTTGTATATAAACTAAAATTGAAATGTCAATGAAGCAGTCACAGGATGTGGTTAAAAGCTTGCATTTTTTAACATATTGGTTACGCAATACCATGCCATTCCATAATGTTGTAAATTGTTGTTGATGTTATGTTGGAGCTTTTAATTGATCAGGATGTTATTCTGCCAGCTTTGCCTTCAGACCAGAGATGGTCTCCCCAAGAAATCGTTGAATTTATTTGGACAATAAGATGCTGGACTCTCTGCTTGGTATATGCTTGCAATGAAAGAATTTTGACTGAATTTGAACTGTAATACTGCAACAAGGTGGAAGAATCCACCATGGGGGGAGGGGACGGGGAGGGGTTGGGGGAAATCCCAGAGCCTATGAAACTGTGTCACATAATGCAATGTAATTAATAATAATAATAAAAATCACTGAAAAAAAAATAAAAACAAAGTGGGAGGTTCTACATATTTTGTAAATTCTGGCTTTAGTCAATGTTTTTAAGTGCTGTAAAATGTGTTACTTCTAGGGAGTTATTTCTAAAACAATTATCTTCAATTGGCAAAAATAACTCAATGATTTCATTTTCCTGAATATAGAGCAAATAGCTAGAATGCAAATTAAAAACGTCTCATAAAAAAAATTGAACACATCATGGGAGTAACATTTTGTGTGGATTACTGCACAAGATTAAAGATAAATAATGGTTGTTTCATTGCTGGAGTGAGCTGGGTTGAAGTTTGTGATGTTGGCATCCCATAGCTGAGTGCTAATTCAGTGCCACTGCTCTGCTTCTGACCCAGAATCACATTAATGTATCTGGAAAGACCCAACCACTCAGGTCCCTGCTGAATGGTGTTCCACGCTCCTCGATCTGATCTGGCCAAGCCCTAACTATTGCAGCCACTCGAGGACTGAATCAGCAGATGGTAGATGTCTGCTTTTCAAATAGGTGAACAAATCTTCAATACACAAAAAAATTCAAAAAGAATTGAAAAGCAGAACTTTCACCAGCTGCAGGCAATTGGCTAGGTTGCCTAAGTGTGGGCTTGGTGGGCTGAGCTAAGCCGCATCACCATGGGAGTGCATGAGAACCAAATGGGATGCTGCATGGACCAGGCTATGCTGCAGCACATGCTGGCATACACAGAAACTGGGCTGGCAGTGGGTCTGATGAAGTTATTGGGAGTCATCTGATTTGGCTGTGACACCTGCCATTGTGCGTGGAAGACCGGGTTTGTGGTGGGCTGGGCTGGCGGGGCAGAGGCTGCAGGACCCTTCAGTTCACGTGGGAGATGGGGAGCGGGGCAGAACTGACCAGTCAGCTGCGTCCACGGATATGTGCACTGACTGTTGCAGGTGTTGCACAGAAGAATGACATCTGAGGGGCCTAGCACAACAGCCTAGTGGCTAAAGTCCTCACCTTGTAACTGCCGGGTTCCCATATGGGTGCCAGATCATGTCCTGGCCACTCCACTTCTCATCCAGTTCCCTGCTTGTGGCCTGGGAAAGCAGTCAAGCATGGTACAGGGATTCTGAACCCTGCACCTGCCTGGGAGACCCAGAGAAGGCTTCTGGCTTCGGTTTGCTCAGGTCCAGCTAAAGGAGTGAACCAGCAGATGGAAGACCTCCCATTTTCTCTCTTTCTCTCTGTGGATCTGACTTTCCAACAAAAATAAATAAATCTTTTAAAAAAATCATATCTGAGGCCACTCCCCAACTAGATAACTGAACTCAAACCTTGACCACAGGAAGTGCACCCATTGGGATTGGGCCTTCCCAGTTGCTGATGCCTGCGCAGCAGACAGCACGCACAGACACACAGCAGACCTGACAGCCAGCTCATCTAGGCCAGGATAGGACTTGGAGTGCTTCAGCAGACGATGGAAAGCGGAACAGGCTAGGCTACTCTCCTGGCCAACCTCTGCAACATGTCTGTGGATGAAGTAGGATGGATGTTGTCAGCCAACAGACCTAAGAAGATTTTCTCAGCCCCAGTGCAATTAAACCGACAACATCTTATAACTATCAAAACTACTCAAGTAACACACTCAGAACACTATTTCCCCACAGATGTGCATCACTCTGAATTATGGAAACAGATTTAAACTGGTGCCTTATTTGATTTTAAATATATCAAAATAAAATGTATATTTGCTACAAATATTTGGTGTTTTTATCACTGTCATGATAGAATACAAATGAACCTGAAACCAGCATTTACTGAAAACACAAATTGATCAATCAAAAATCTTGCAATTGGCCTAATAGACTACACTAAACGCTTCCAACACAGGTGGAAGAAAAACCCTACCTGGAATTTTGTACCTCTCTACTGTGGACTAAGGAGTTGATTTGCCCTCGTTAGCCTGGGGCTGGGGGGACAGGAACTGGACTTGTGGCTAAAAACACCCAGACTCATCTGTATCCAATATCCTGCTAAATGAAGATGTGGGGGAAGAGTACATAAGGAAAGGTAAAGGAGAAATAGAGAGAGACTTCACAGACTTCCACCAGCACTGGTCTCCCGTTGGTGCCTCCCCCAGACTTCTCCCTGTCCACTTACTGGCTCTGCTGGCCGGAGCACCTCTCAAAAGCAGGGCAGAGGGTTTTAGTCTGTGGTCTTAACAGGGAGGCAGACTCTTCACCTGCTAAGGCTCACCAGTGCAGTGTTGCCCAGCTTGTCCAGACCCTGTTTTTACTGGCATTACTGCAATACACACAGCAGCCTATCTGAATTATCCCTGAATATCACTTACAGGTTTCATAAGCACTTTAGTTAGAAAGTCGTATAATGTTTGGCCAGCCCCTACTGCTCCAGTAAACCCACAAATTAAAGTTTTCAGAAAAACATGTACACTATAAAAATCCATGTCACCTGTAAAAGGCCAACAGCAACCACTTTATCAGTCTGTATTTTAAACATCACAGGCTCAACTGAATCAACTTGCATACATGAAAGTATTAATGTACACAATCCCATTTTACCTTCAGGTAATGTAAATTATCGTCTGCACTGCGGTGCAGCCCGTGTTACTGCAATGCCTTACAAGTAAGGCGTGAACCCACTGTCCCTAATTAGGGTAAGTTCTTTTAAACAGTTACTATCACTGAGACACATCTGTGTGTCACTAAACCACATCAGGACTCTCGCCTCCACAGAAACAGCAAATTCATTCAACAAATTGTATAAGTCACAACTTATCACTCAACTGTGGTAGTAACAGTTATTTTAGTCCTTGCTTTAATTTTTTTTTTTAAAGATTTATTTTTATTATTTTTTTCATTGGAAAGGCGGATATACAGAGAGGAGAGACAGAGAGGAAGATCTTCCATCCGATGATTCACTCCCCAAGTGAGCGCAACGGGCCGATACTATGCCGATCCGAAGCCAGGAGCCTCTTCCAGGTCTCCCACGCGGGTGCAGGTTCCCAAAGCTTTGGGCTGTCCTCGACTGCTTTCCCGGGCCACAGGCAGGGAGCTGGAAGGGAAGCGGGGCTGCCGGGATTAGAACCGGCGCCCATATGGGATCCCGGGCGTGCAAGGCGAGGACCTTTAACCACTTGCGCCACCGCGCCGGGCCCCCTTGCTTTAATTTTTATATTTTATTTTTGCCTTTACCCATCACATAATGTTTTATATCAAGTCAAAACAGCTGCAAAATCATTCAAGCCTCTCTGTGTAACAGATAAGGGGTTAACACTTTTTCTGTAAAGGAGGATAGTTACAGATATGCCAGGCTTTGTAGGCCACATAAAATCTCTTAAAATTTTTCTTCTTGGGTCCAGTACAATAACCTAATGGCAAAAGTCATCACCTTGCATGCTCCGGGATCCCACATGGGCACCAGTTCATGTCCTGCTGCCCTACTTCCCACCCAGCTCCCTGCTTGCAGCCCTAGAAAGCAGTGGAGGACGGCCCAAAACCTCAGGACCCTGTGCCTGCATGGGGGACCTGGAAGAAGCTCCTGACTCCTGTCTTAGGAACAGCTCAGTTCCAGCTGTTGCTGGCCACTTTGGGAGTGAAGCTGTGGACAGAAGATCTTTCTCTGTTATCTCCTTCTATATTCCAAAAAATTTTAATGACATTTATTTAAAAATTTTCTTCTTTATTAAAATAATAATCTAAAAACATGCCTATCACTTTTAGCACATAAGCTACATAAAACCAAGCCACAGGGCAGAGTGGCCCTTTTGTTCTGGTTTGTTAACTTTATTTACAGGAGAAAGAGAATGCAAACACAAACATCCGTAAGGGCTTTGGTATAGTCACCATAAACAAAGGCAATGTGGGGAAACTGATGCTTGAAACAACACTATCCATATTAAAATACAAAATTTCAAATTCTATGTAATATTATTTAAAATAAGCTCCTTGCTCCTCAAGCAACTGTCATCATTGTTGGCATTACTGGAGGAAAACAGGGGTTTGAGGAACATAATCAACACCTTCAAAGTTCAGTATTACAAAAAAATTTTCAATTACAACAAAATTAAGGAGTTCTACCTTAATCTTAATTCTTCAAAGGCACACATGACTAGTGAAAGAGGAGACACCAGCAATATCTATGACATACAAAGCATTCCTGCACACTAACAGAAGCAATTAAAAAAAAGTAAAAAGAGGAAGACGGGCCAAGACGGGAAGAGAGGTGATAAATAAATGTTCAAGTAGGCTATTACAAGCCAGTTGGGTAAGCACATCCAGAGGGCAGAACAGGAAGGGTACTACTTCCTGTTGGAACAGAAGACGTCCAATTCCTAGGTTATATACAACGATAATCCTTTTGGAAATCAGCCAATTTCTTCACTCTGACACAGCAGTCTCAGCACCAGGCTTATTTAAACTCATGTTAGGATATACAGAAGACATGTTTGAAGATGTTGAAATCAGTACTGTTGGTAGCAGGGAGTTGGAGGTGAACTAGGAATCCTACTCCGAGGGAATATAGATATTGTGGAATACTAAGCAGTAAGAAGTGATGAGCTAATTTTACATTTATCGTAGATAGACATAAAAACAATACTGACAGAAAGTGAGCGAAATAATATCATATTCTTTATATTCAAACAGTATATTCCTCACACAAATACAATGGGATGTACAATGTACATTGTACAAATGTACAATGGGAAATGGAAAACACATTAACTGGCTGTCAAGGAGAGAAAAAACAATACGAAAGAAACTGAAAGAAGGAAAGCAAAATAAAGAGGTGACCTCAGTATAGACTATCACTTACAAATCAACTACCATTTATAAATCATAACACATATAACATATGCAAATAATCATCTATACCCAACAAAATAACACAAAGGGAAATAAAACCTGATCCCTTCCCATTAGGAATTAATGTGTAGACAAAAAAAGGACAAAACAAATTAGCTATAAGGTTAGCACTTAAAGCCCCTCGTTATAATATGACTTGTTCAACAAGTAAAGCGTAACAGGTGATTTCCCCGACTGGCAGTAGCATACATTTGGTTCCTCATCTCCTTTTCTTAAAGGAAGACTAAGAATTAGCAATGGTGGTAGAAATACCAAGCACCTTGATTTTAGACTGTCTCCCACAATTTCACCTAGATCGTTAAACATGTGAAAAAGTTTTGACTGGCAACAAATGTCAGCATTCCATGAGGATAATGAAGATAACCAAATTTCTATTTCTCTGGGGTTCATTAATAAAGTATTCTATAGCATAATGAGTAGTAAAGGAAATGTCTTCATTGGTTGTACCATATCTCAGTTGCTACTCTGCAAGATGTCCTTTATCTTTGTTTAAAACTACCTAAAGGGCCTGGCACGGTGGCACAGTGGTTAAGGTCCTCGCCTTGCACGCCCGGGATCCCATATGGGCGCCGGTTCTAATCCCGGCAGCCCCGCTTCCTTTCCAGCTCCCTGCCTGTGGCCCGGGAAGGCAGTCGAGGACAGCCCAAAGCTTTGGGACCCTGTACCCGCGTGGGAGACCCGGAAGAGGCTCCTGGCTTTGGATCGGCATAGCATTGGCTGTTGCGCTCACTTGGGGAGTAAATCGGATGGAAGATTTTCCTCTCTGTATATCCGCCTTTCCAATTAAAAACAAAAAACAAAACAAAAAAAACCCTACCTAAAGTCTTTGATTTGCTTTGATTTCGTTTCTCAAAAACGAGCATTTTTTTTTTACTTGTTTACTTACCTCATCCATCTTCATACATGTGCCAAAATCTGCTAACTTTAGATGTCCATGTTTATCCAAGAGCATGTTGTCCGGCTTCACGTCTCTGTGTATGAGGCCCATGGAGTGTATTGCATCCAGGGCAAGCACAACCTCGGCAGTGTAAAATTTGGCCCACTTCTCAGGCACGTCGTAATTACTCATAAGGTTCACAAGGTCCCCTCCGGGCATGTACTCCATGACCATGTACAGATACCTATCATCCTGAAAGGCACAGAAGAGCTGGGAAAAAGGAAAAAAGTAGTAGTAAAAATATTTTAAAAACTCAAAACCATAAACAAATCCAAAAGCTATCATTACTACTGAAAAACACAAAACATTCTATAAGCACAACAGTTAAAAATATAAAAATCTTCTATTTTAAAATTGGATGCTTTATGGACAAACCACCAGATAAAATTTTTCTATGTGTCAAGTTTACTATCAAAATATGAGTTACTGAATATTTTTCCCTCTTGGAGAATATCAAATACTACCAAAATTTAAATGATTAATAAGAGAAACAGAATAGGAATGAAATCTATAAAAAGTAAAGGGTGGGGGCAGGCAAGAATTCATTATCTTAAATGAAAACCAAAGGAACAATTGCTCGTAACTCAACAAAAAGGGTTGCTAAGCAGGCAGAAGCAGTTTAGAAAAAAACTGAAAAGATGCAAGACTCAATAAACACATGGAGAAATAAGCCTCACACCAACAGACAGATGAGCACCTGGCAGACTTAGCCGGAACAGAACTAATGCCTTGCCCTTTTTCCATCTTCCTGCAGCACACAGACTATCTCAGTGTTATTGCATCCAGAGAAATAAAACATAATCCAGGTGGCCACTGGCCCCTGCAGAAAACCGAAACCACAGACTCCTGAGAAATATCTGCATTGCCCCCCATACAGGATCCACCCCTTCCAAGAGAAGCAAAAGCCCAACAGAACTAAGAATCAACACTGGACAAGAACCACTATCATCAAGGAAATGTTTAGAACAAAACCTGAGGATGGGTTTGGTTGTGTAAAATCAATACCTACAAAAGGGTAACATGCCACATCAGTTAAATACTAGGCTGGGAAGAAAAAAATGTGGAGAAAAAAATCCTTCAATCAAGGGACACATGAGTGATGATGGAAGAACAAATGACAAAGGTAAGAAAGTTGAGGTAACAGGACTTGGTTCAAACAACTGAGGGTCACGAGGTGAAATTCAGAGCAAGGGTAGCCAAGATCCCACACCCACCTCCGAGCAGTTCTAAAGGAACTCTAAATCAAATGGGAAATTTTAGACAGCCAGTGCTACATTCTCAGAAATCCAAGAGAAATATTATAATAAGATGACTTACATATAAATATATAAATCACAGTCAAACCTCAGTCAACAGACCCAACACAAAAGACAATAGAGCTAGCTAGCTATTCAAAACTGTTTTTAAAAAGATTTATTTTTATTTGAAAGGCAGATTTATAAAAGAGAGAGAGGGAAGGAGTGACACCAGGAGAGAGAGAGCCACAACAACCAGAACTGAGCTGACTGAAAAATCAACTCAAAATCAATAATAGGCCTATCAATAATAGGCCTAATTTTTTTTTTTAACATTTACTTACTTACTTACTTAGCATTTTCTTTTTGTTCTTCTTTTATCTGGGGGAGGGGAGATACCACGCCCATTCTCCCAACCACTTTAGTAGCCGGGAATGGGGAACTGCCACCTGATGTCATCCCAGGGTCCCTGCTACGGAGCATTTTCCGAGGGTTCTGCACATGTGGTTTCAATAGTTCTGAGATGCTGCTGCTATCACCACTCCAAGGATGAGGAAATCCTTCCAACGTTAACTGGCTCACCCAGAAATTTGCTGTCAAGATTCGCTGGGGTAGTTGACCTATTTGTTCTGCCCTCCTTCCTCTGCAAACTGATGAGTGCTACAGCCCAGCACAGCCCAATCCTGCCCATCACACGCTCGGCCCTCAAGTACACCAGGGGAAGTTGCAGCACAGTCAGAGCGACTCCCCAGTAACCTCCACTGGACCAGTCCCCAAATCTGGTTCCTGTGCCTGCCAGCAAGTGCAGGGGACTGGTCCAGTCTGTCCCGCATCCCAAACAGATCTCATACACATCACTGGACACTGAAGCCTAACTCAACCCGACTGTCTCTACCCTCCAGCCCTTACTCATGCCAGCAGGTGCCACTGCCTGTCCAATCGGGCCTGCCCCAAGTCCTGATTCTCATGCTCACCAGGGGTAGTTGCAGTCTGTCAGAGAGGTGCCCACAACCTTCCCACTGAACCCACTCCACACCCCAGATCTTGCACCCTCCAGATGGTTTTGTGGTCTAGCTTGACAGGACTTGCCCTCAGTCCCAGCACTTGCCAGCTGATGCAGGCAAAGCCCAACCTGCTGGCCCTTGTTCTGGCTCATGCCTGTACAAGTGGATACAACTGATTAGCTCAGCCTGGCTTTCTCCCTAACCCAGTTCACATGTAGGCCAACAGGTGTTATAGCCCTGCCCCAGCTTGGTCTGCCTCTAGTCCTAGCTCTCACGTTCACCAATGAGAGTAGTAGCCAGTAGGGGAATTCCCACTACTCCCTTACCGGGCTTGCACACCTCTCCTCATCTCACATGTGCTGGTGGGTGTTGCAGCCCAGGCTGGCATGGCCTGTCTCACCTTGGCATTTGCTGGAGGGTGCTATAACCTGGCCCAGTCCAGTCTGCCCTCTTCCAGCTGTCGCTGTCACCCAACACAGAGTGGTCAGCCCCTTGCCACCCTCCCCAGTCCCAGTCCTAATGTGAACTGGCTGGTGCTGCTGCCTAACCCAGCCTGTCCTACACCCCATGCTGGTTTTCAGATCTGCCAGGTGGTGTTATTAACTGGCCCAGCCTGGCCGCCCTCCACCCCCAACCTAAGCCAGATTTAGTCCAGTGGGTACTGCAACCTGGCCTGGTCTGCATTGCTCCTTGATAGGCCCAAATTTTTTTTTTTTTTTTTTTTAGATTGTTGCTGATGAAGCTTTTTTTTTTCTATTTAAATATTTTTTTTTTTTATTTTAACAATCTTTACATGGTTAATTTGTGCATAAAGGGTCAAGGGCTACAGGAATGTGGGTAAGACTGTTATTTCCATATTGTTTCCTTCAAATATCTGAGGTAGAGGGGGATATTGAGGGAGAAGCCCCACCTGATTTTCCACCCACCCCAAGTCCCGCATGTGGGGCATGCTCCGAGATACTCATTGAAGTGGTTTCAGTAGGTCACCAGTTTTGAAATTGCTGCCAATCTTGCCTCTCCAAACACGATGAGGTTGTTGAAAAATCCATTAATTGACATTGTCCATCATAGCGTCTCTATTTGCCCAGTATTTTGTTGCTGAGGTGGTTGATTAACTTGTTCCATCTTCTGTCCCTCCATGGTTTGTGTTCTGAGACTGGCATTTCAATTGGGCAGATCACCAAAGAAACTTCGTCTGAGGTGTTCCCAGGCCAGATACTTGTGGAGAACAGGTATGTGTGTGGGGCTGGAGTGTGGGAGAGGGGCAGGTCCCAGTGGAAGCCGCCAGGATCCATATCCTGGCCCCCTCACCCCACCCTTCCTTCTGGCCTCCATGCCCGCCAGCTGGACTCTGGCCTGATGCAAACAATGAGGCCCAGTTGCATCGTATGCACGCCTCGGGTCACGCAGGAAAGACCCCCTGGCCGGTCCAGGAGGGGGAGCCTGACGAGTTCCACAGCACAGGGTCCCCTATGGGACACGCGGCGCCGGCCTCTCCCCTAATGCCACGTGAACTAGGCGCTCACGAGGCACTGGGGCGACGAAAGGCTAGGGCAGGGAGGGCCCTCAGTTCCCCCTAAGCGTGCCCAGGAGTCCCAGGGAGTCCCTGGCTAATGGTTTCCTCCCTAAGGCCCTAAGGCACACGCGGTGAAAAAGCCCAGAGAACCTCCAGCACAGTCCATCACCCAGTCAGCTGGTAGTTGCAAGTGCTAGGTTGCTTCTGTTTTCAGCCCCGCCTTCTACTGGAACCAATGGGTGTTGCAGTCCAGCCTGGTTCTGTACAGCACATACTTGGTCTTCACCTAAACCAGTGGGAGCTGCATCCTGATGAGAGCGGCCCACAATAACCCCCACCAGGCCAACCCCCTACCCTGGTTTGCCAATATGTGTGGCAGACCAGTCCAATCTGACCCATATCCCCCTGGTTGCCGTACATGGCAAATGGCATTGAAGCTTGGATCCATCTACCCAGCTCAACAGTCCAGCCTTCACGGGCGTGGTTGAGTGCCTCTCTGTCTAGCTACCCCAGCCCCTGTCCTAGTTCTCGTGCCTTCCCGTGGCAGTAGTAACTCAAGAGGGGGGAACCCACTATTTCCCTCCCAAGTCTCTCACTCCCGGATTGTGCACTTTCCAGGTGGTTCTGCAGTTTAACTTGACAGGATTAGCCCCCAGTGCCAGTTTCTGCCAGCTGGTGCTACGGCTATGCCTAAACAGCCCTCTCCCATTCTAGTTGTAGGTTGCACCCAAGGAACAATCAACCCATCCTGGCTTTTCCCTGGTCTAGTCCACATGAGGTGCACAGGTGTTGTAGCCCTGCTTAGTCTAGTCTGCCCCCATCCCAGTTCTTGCTCTCCAGTGGGAGTAGCTGTCCAGCAGGGGAACCTCCCCTTATTCCCCCGCTGGCTCTGTCCCCTCCCCTCCTGTTTCTCACGTGTGCCGGATGGGCACTGCAGTCACATTCGGCACAGTCACCCTCCTCCTGGCATTCTGTAGTGTGGACTGGTTTTTATCGCAACCAAACCTGGCTCGACCCTTACTCTGATCTGGTGCTCGGATTTGCCAGTGATGATGTTAACTGATTAGCCTGGTCTGCCCCCAATCCATGCCTAATGTTTGCCAGTGGGAAACTTCTTGTGGCCTGTTCTGGGCTGTTTCCATTCATGTTTCTTGCGCTTACCAGTGGGGTCTGTGTCCTGCCAGAGGAGTTGCCCAGGCTCCTCCATCAGAACCTCTCCCAGTGCCGGCATTTGCGCATGCCAGTGGGTCCATGAGCCAGCCCTAGCCCAGTTCCTGACTAGCTTTTGACCCAAGCTGGTTCTTGTTGTTGGATATTTCAGCCCAGCCATGGCTCGTCCAGTCCATTCCCACATACGGCTCACACATGGTTCAGTAGGGGTTGCGACCTAGCATAATCCGTCCCACTTCTATCCTGGTCCTCTAGGAGCACCAGACAGTACTGGGGTCTGGTCCA